ATATTCGAATAAAAAAAATATATTTAAACTTTTATTTTGCTGGAACTTTTGAATCTATTATTCCCTGTATTTGTTCATGAAGTTGATTTTTAGCTGTTTCATCGAAATTAATAGACCGAATATATTCATTAATTGCATTCTTATAATCATCTGATTTCTCAAATTTTCTTTTATCTGATTCCTTAACTAAATCATAAGTTAAACCTCGTTGCTGATATAATGGTTTCTTAATTAAATCTTTGAATGCTTGAGATAAAGCACCTGATGCAATTCTTGCTACTATAATTGGTTGGAATTGCTGTTTAAGTTCATCTTTAACATTTGCGAAAACTGGATCGAATAAAGCAACTTTAAAGAATTTCTTAGCTGAAATTTCGGGTCTAATGTTTGCATATTGACCATCAAACTGGTTAGAATATCGCGGTAATCCATCCGGTCCCTCTTCAATAGCATTTAATTCTTCATTGAAATAAGAATATGGATTATGACGGTATGAATTAATTGGACCATTTTCACCTTCTCCAATGTATTGTTTAACAGCTTTTCCATTTTCATCAAATTGCATAGGATAATGTTCATTATATGCTTTACGTTTAGGATAATCAGATACAGTTAATTTATAACCATTTATGACTTTAATATTACCTTGACCATCAGTAACGAAAACTTCATTTATACCATCAGGTTTTCCATTTGGACCCGTAATGTCTGCTTCGTGTGCTTCCCAATTTGGACCATGACGTTTGGCATATGCTTGAGCTTCTGGCAATGTTAAAACATTTCTCATTTGTTTAACATCTTTTTGAAGACCAGCAACAATATGAACTAATTCTTTCATTCCATCGGGAACTTTCATAGTTCTATTATATGCACCCCTTTTGTTTGTCCCTTGTTTTAATGGAACCTGTAAAAGATTTGCTATTTCTGTCATGTTTAATTATAAATAAAAAATAAAAATTAATTATAAAAAGTTAATCAAATTTAACACCTCCTTTATTTAAATCAACTATTATTTTTCCATGTTCACCTAATTGCTGATATTGTGTGTAAAGTTCATTAATGCTCATTGGTAAATTCACTTGATAAAGCATAACGTTCAACTGTTGACGACTAAACCCACTGAAAATGAAAAGGGTTGATAGATTTGATTTAATGTTTGTGCTTAATGCTTTGAAATATTGAACAGCCATAAAGAATGAACACTGAATGTGTCGACATTGAGTTAATAACTGATTAAAATATGATTTCTCATTTGTTATTAGTTTTGATTTCACTGCATCATCTAGAAAAATGAGTGAATGTAAAAATTCTTTATCAAAATTTGAAATGGAAAGTGTTTCAAATAATTCATCCCGTTGTTTATCAATAATTTTATCCTCTAATCCTTGCTTCTTGATTGTATTATATAATTCTTTATACATTAAAAAGTTTTTTAAATAATCTTCTGCTTCTTCTTGTGATAAATAAATAATTGGAATTTTGATTAAATGCTTTAAAGATTCAAATGTATCATCTGAAGGTGAACCTGAACGGTTGATATAAATTAACACATGTGAATAGGGGGAAGTGTTAGCAATAATGATAATTTGTTTTAATATCGTTAATGTTTTACCTCTATTTTGTTTACCAATTGCTGCAGTGATTGAATTTAAATAACATTCAGAATATGGAATTTTCATTAATTTTTCCTTAGATAGAGCATTTCTATTATCACTCAATGCTTCATTAATCATCTCATCTACGTATGTATTATATACTCCCGTTAATTCTTCATAAGGGGTGGATGAATTTAAATCCATTTAATCAAAAATAAATTTATAATTTTAAACATTTCTATTCATCAATATTTCATCATATGAACTTCTATACTGCGGTGGTGTACCTGTTGGATGATATTTCAAACCTTCATCTGGTGTCCATGTCCAATATGTAGTCCTAGTAAACCAAACCTGAGGAGGATTTGTCACCTTTGAACAGTAAGTGTCATTTTCACCCTGAATGATTGGATAAGCTTTCACTTGTACTGTAACTTGTGAGTTGAAAGTTTCTAATCCATCAAAGAATATACCCGCTCCATTACGTTGAACTGGAATAGTGCATAAGAATGAAGTTTGGTCTTTCCATGGTCTAGCTGATGGTGTGCCATCATCTGCATTCAGTGGTCTAGTTAATGAGTCCTCATATTCTTCCGTGCATTCATTCACTCCATCTAAATCAGAAGCTTGAAGCATACGTGTAAAGAATATGTCACCCACTGTGGTCATCGCTTGATCGGGGAAGTTTCTGGAATCTATAGTGACCTGAAGACCTCGAAGCATTGGATTTTCTAAAACCGTTCTTTGCATTGCATTCTTCGGAAATGTTAACACAACATCTGTTACATTATGAAGGGCGTATGAGAAATCCGAGCTAATACCTTCAGGAGTGATGCATCCTCCATTTAGTGAACGAACGTCAATATGTTGAGCTGGAATCATGAATGGATCTTCCTTACTGAATAAACGTGGTATTGCTTTAACTGATTCTTCAATTAAACCGTATCCTGGTGTAATACATTTTCCTCTAAAACTTCCATCTTTGTGCATGAAATAATAACGTATCAACTGTTGCGTTAGCAGATGTAGCGGCTAAGCTTGTAATTAATTTGGCAGGAAGTCCGATTTGTTGGAATTTGCGATCATATTTATAAACATGATTCATAATCTTTTCATAATTTTCATCAGTTATCTTTTCATAAACGTAATTTTTGTAAATCAGCAACTCTTAAACGGGTCAACCTGACAAAATACTAAAGTATCCTGAAAACATAATATTTAAGAATGAATCACCAAATGATTTAGGATAATCATCGAACGCCTGAAATGCTAACAAATCATTTACAGGAATAATCATATCAAAAGTGACATCAACTTCTTCATTTGCTTTCTTAAAAACTTCTGAAGGGTCAATATATTTACCACATACTGAGTTATCATATTTTTGAACATTATTATATAACGAATGAACAAACTTTTTAACTTTCCTTTCTGATTTTGGTTTATATGTTGCAAATGCGAAAGATTCACGGGCGCAATCCATTGAAGATAACCGGCATCACCTCTTTCAGTTTCTACTTCTAATTGTTTAAAGCTTTGATTTGATGATTTGTAACCAACGAATAAACGCATGCATTTAAAAGCGGCATCACATGTGAAAGCTTTATTTGAAACTAGAGTTGCTTTAACTTTGCGTTTAATATATGTGTCACCTAATTGGTTCACATCATGAGCCGGATTTGTAATTCTTAAATGAGTTTGTTTATCATCAAAATATGGAGCATCAGAGTCATAGCATGAACTTTCAAGTTCTCTATAATATCTTCTACCGTCATTCTTTGCGAATATTTCATTTATCTTTTCGAATGAATGAAACACATTTCCATTAATCGGTTTAGTGTTTGGCACAAATAGTTAGTCGTCATTTATTAATAAAAAAAAATCAAAATTAAAAGATGAAAATGAATTTTTAATTTTAATGAAATAATCAACTATGGCTGCAGGTATATTTAAGAAACTGTGGGATAAAGTAAAAAGAGGAGCGAGTAAAGTTTGGGAAACATTGAAGAAGGGAGCAAATTGGATATTTAAGAATAAAGAAGCAATTAGTGACGTTGCTGAATCAATAACACCAAAAGCTGCCCCAATAGAGAAATTTTAAATAAAGGAGAAAAAGTTTATCAAAGACTACAACCGATACTAAGATAAAAATAATATTTATTTATTTTTCCACTATCTACCTCCTATTTTATTAAGTATTCCTTCAGCAATTCCACCAATTGCGTTACCCGCTTGTGCTCCCATCGCCGGATTACCTGCTTTAGTACCTAATACTCCACCTATGATAGTTCCTGCCGTTTTCGCTACTGGTGCCAAAAAGTTTGCAACAGGTTTAATAACCTTTTTATAAACCCAACCCGCAGCTTTCTTAATTCCATCCCATAATTTTTTAAAGAATCCTGCCGCCATTTCTGATTTAATATTAAATAAAAAATATATTTCATCACTTATATTCTAATTTTTTATTTAATGATAAATGAAACCGATTTTAAGAATAAATGAAACAAAGGAGGATGAAATAAATGAAAGTGGAAATGTCCAACAAAAAATAAACGTTGTTAAACCAATTACTGAAATAAAAATTTTTTCATCTGTTGAAGAATTTAATGACTATTATGCTAATAATAAAAAATTATTTGAAGAATTGACAACATGTAAATTGAATAAAATGTTTAAAGTTGATGGATTCAAAATTTCAAAAATAAAAGGGGTGGTTAGTTTGAAATCTATTCCCCAATCAAGAATCACCTCATTAATGAAAATAGATGATTTAACAAAAAGAATAGAAGAGATTGAAGAAAGAATGAATCAAATAATTGATTTCATAAATTCAAATAATCATTAGTTTCTAATTATTTTTCTCGTTTATGAGGTCTTTGATTATGACTCCATTGATTCCATTCATGATTTAAACAATGTTTAATTAATCGCGGAATATCTGATATCATCTATATATAGCTTCTTTTATAAGTGATGAAATAAATTATTTATTTAATGTTAATTTTAAATGATTTATAAATAAATATATTTTTTATTTCATATGTTAAAAATGATACAATATCACTCGATATTGTATGAATTCTTACGTTTACAAAAAAAGTCACTAAACCCATCATATATACTACTGTTATTTTCAATTTACATATTATTACTTTCGGAATGATACCATAAGCGACTAATAACTCCAATAATGTATAGCCTGAGTTTCAAGCCCCTTTATTTTTAACAAATTTATTCAACAATGGATGTCAAAGTTAACTGTCAACAATACCCTAGGTGTTTTGAGGGTTTGCTTAATATGCTCATAGATTCAATAACAAAAGCTGTTTCATTAATAACAATAAAGAAAATTTAATTTGAGAAAATTATTAGTTTTGGAGTTAAAAATATGAAAAAAATCAATCATTAACTGTTTACATTTTCATTATTTTCTGGCTGTTGATCAGAATCAGATAAATTATTTTCATTTTGAACTATGTCGATAAGAATTACTGGTTCTTCCTGTTCCTGGTCATTTAACCACGGCAAAGGATCTAATTGACTTGACGGGAATGAAATTCTTGAAAACATATCTTCGATATTTCTATTTTCGAGGTCATTCATCAAATCTTCGCTTAATTTATCTGTTCTAGCAGCAATCAATCCTTCCAAGCTCAGAATTGCTATCGCTTTCTTAGAAAGTTTTTCGAAATCAGGATTTTCTGATTTTGCCTGTTCCCAAAGCTCGTCAGCGACTGGAACAAGAGTCATTGCATTGAACTGGACCATTATATTATGAATATATTCATATAATCTCTTACAATCTTTCTTTTGAAATAATCCAAGACGAATATCATGTCTACAGATGTCCAAAAGCTCCAATTTGAATTCCGATGTAGCTCTATTGGTTATTATCGCATACTGCATGCCTTCGTAAAACTTTTTTTCTAAATAAGTAATATTCATTAAAATTTCCATACTTTTTGAGAATTTGTTAACTGATTTTTGGTAATTTCCCTCTGACATTGTTTGCCGACCTGATTCAAGATGTTTTTCGACGTATTCGTAGCCATTTTTACGAATTGCCCTTGAAAACTTGGCAAAAATATTGGGAACCATATATATTGACCTGATACTGTAGATGGGATGATGCGCGGCTTGATATTCGTTATGTAAAACGATGTTAAATGGAGAATCTTCCATAAAAGCGTATTCAACCATGATTTTTGATGTACAAATGTGGCATTGACAATTATGTCTTACATCTAGTTCGCCACCGCATGTAATATAGACAATAACTTCTCTTGCTAGCTGTGAAAAAGTTTTAATAAATTTTCTAAGCTGAGATCTCCAATTTTTAGCACCATTGCAGTACTCAAGGTAAACTCTTGCTAATGAGGGAAAAGCTCCCCACTCAGGATCATCAAAATCGTAAATTAAATTATTATTTGAATCTCTTGCTTCAAGAAGTGCTTTTAGATGAGTTGTATTTCTTTCAACGAAGACTGGTTGTCGAGATCTTTCTCTTCCGATGACTTTTATGTAGTTTGCGAGGATATAAAATGTAGTTCTAACTTTTGGTTTGAAATTAATGCGGAGAAGTAGTTCTGACATATAAGTTGCTATCTCTAGTTGATCAGTTTCCATAAGAAGATCAGTAAAATGCGATAGCACACGTATATAAGGAGCTAATAAAGGTTCATCTGAAAAAACATTGGGAAGCTTTGTAAATTTTTCGGAAATATATTTACCATATAGTGAAAGGAGTTCTCTAAGTAGATTTTGACCTGTCTGTGGATCGATTTTGTAGTCATTATCATCCATAATCATAATTAAACCGAGATAGGCATCAAAACAATACGGATCTATCTTTATTGCTTTGTACATTTCACTTTTAGCAACAAATTTCTTCGTGTAGTCCTTTACAAAGTACTCAAAACCAACTAAAGCAGTTCTACGAGCTTCATATACATCAGGCATTGTTTCCCCTAGTTTTGCTTTAAGATTTTCCAATTCTGATTCGATGTTTTCCGGAAGATCTATTTCATTTTCTAAATTCTTTCCTTTTTTCATTCTATTTTATATCACATGTCTGCAATTGACCAATAACTTTTTTTATTGCCTAATGATCGAATCATTTCATAATAGATCAATGGTGTATTCCTTATAACAAGGCTAATGTTGATTTGTTATTAAAACGCTATCAGCCAAAGAATGTTATGGAAATTAATTTAATTTTTTATGTTTTAGGACTGAACTTATCCGAAATTTAAATTACATATGTGTAAGCTAAGTTAGAACATAACTTCTGTCTTGTCAATATGACATCTTCAACAACAACTATGAAGAATAAATAATGATCTGCTGTAATGCCACAGAATTCATATATGTCAAGTTCGATGCATTATCGCATGTATACTATTTTGGTTCATTTGAATTTATCAAAATTGAACTTTATCTAATTGATATTTGCTTTCGAAAATGGAGTTTCCGTATATACCAAGCCATAAAATAAAATATTTTATATAAAATTATGAAAATTGAGGTTTCAAAAAATAAAAAAGTGAGAAATTTTATACCGTTGATAAATTTTCATGAGCAAATCCTATACAAATTTACCTACCCTTCCAAGATCAGGTGCTTCATCAAGGGCATCAGTTACATCTCGTCCTGCAACAAAACTTGTGGTAGGTCCAAGTTACGAAAAAAGACTAATTGAGCAGCTTTTACGTGAAAAAGAAGAATATACAAGGATTGCGAATCACTTAATAGAACAAACGTCATCAATTTTGGATTCTAATGATTCTTTGCAGAGTGAATTAGAAGCGACTTCACAAAGATATCAACAATTACAAGATATGATAGAACAATATAAGAAACAGAGAGATTATAATGTCAAGAAAAAGGAAAATGCGATGTATAAATTAAAAAGATATAATGAAAAATACTTAGAAAGTCTAAATGGACAATATCAAGAAAATATTCACAATAAAATTGCACAAAAAAGAGCTGAAATTGCTGATCTAAACGATAAATACCAAAAATATGAAGTTGAATATCAAAAAGAGCAAGATACAGTAAAATTAATCATTGATTACAACATGGCCTCAAAAGATTTAATACAAATGAATAAAGAACTTACAGAAGAAGCTCTTAGACTCATGGGCTTGTTTGAAGGAAGAAAAAATAATTTGCCACAAGGATATTTAGAAATTATAACTTTATTACAAAGAAGAATGATGATGGCACAAAACGGTAATGATATTTTAGCAAATGAAATAGGTTATAGTGATTCTTCAATGCAAGATGATAGATTTATGCAATTAAGTTTACAATTACAAACTTTAAACCCATATTTTGATGATTTGACGAACATTTTAAATAATCCATCAAGAATTGCTTCATCCAGATCATCCGTTGTGGCTTCAAGCTATTTTATGTCGGAACATGAATCAGAACCTCAAGTTCCAAAGTCACCGAGGACGAAAGCGTTAAGCGAAAATACAATTGCAAGGAAAAATAATATTAATGCTCCAAAATGCCGTTCTTCAAATCCAAGATCTACATTAAGAAGAGCGAAAGAATCGGCAAAAGGCAAAAATAACTCGGAATTTAAGTCAGAACCCGGTGTCTCTGATTATGAACTTGGAGATTCAGCTTCAATGGTCGATGAATGGGATAATGATCAAAATTCTTCCAAAAAACGAAGAAAATCTTCAACAGCACAAGATGAAATGGATAGTTTAACTGCCAGTATCATAAAAGGTAGCAAAGCTCCAACTCCTATGATGTTTGACTCTTCATCTGAAACTTATTCCAAAAGTAAACGAAAATCTTCACAAAAAGCAGATGATCCAGAAACCAAACAGATGGTTCCCGCATATATTGATGCAAATGGCAACGTAATTTACGAAACAGATACAAATTACCAGTCAGAACGCGAACCAGTTGTAAGGATGCAACAAAATGATCATAATGGACATCCAATGTTCACAAAAAATGGAGATCCAATATTTGATGACAATCAATTACCAAATCAAATGAAAGATGATAAGAATGGACCACTATTTAATATCCATGATGAACCTATATATGATATTTCGCAGTATTTGGTTCAGAAATATGATGAAAAAGGAAAACCAGTTTTAGAAGAACCATCAGTTTCAAACATCAAAAGAGACAAAAACGGAAATAAACTCAAAGACAAAAATGGAGATTTTGTTTATGAAAAACCTTCATTCAAAACACAACAAATTGATCAACATGGAAAACCATTATTTGATGAAAACAACAAACCAATATTTGAAGAGAATGAAGATAATGAAGATAATCAGTTTAAAGATCACAATGGATATCCAATTTATGATTTATCGAAGAAATGTATTTTTTATGGAAATTCACCTCCGAAACAGAAGAAAGATTTAGAAGGTCATCCAATTTACAAGAACGATAAAGTTGTTTATTGTGAAGATAATTATTTGATTCCAATTATTACAGAAGACAACGAAATTTTATACAACAAATTTGGTCAACCAATTCTTATTTCACCAGAAATTGTTGACATCAACACATGTGATCATCAATCAATTGATCATTTATTAAATGAAATGTTCAAAAAGAATGGAACTCCAATTTTACATGATTCTGAATTACCAACCCAACTTTGCGACAAACATGGTCATCTTTTCTTCACAAGCGATGGTTCCATCATCTTCAATCCAACCGAATATCTCATTCCAAAACATAAAAATAACAAATCTAATGAAGAAAATGGAAATCATAATCAGAGTAATCCTGTTAGAAATGGTAGTGATAAAAGTAATACTAATAATGATAATAGTAATGATTTAGTTTATGATAATGAAGGAAAACTAGTTCTTGTTTCTCCTCCAATGATTGATACAGAAAATATTGACAACAAAGATATTTTAGTTCAGAAACTTGATAAGAACGGCAAATTAGTTTTTGATGATAAAGGAAAACCAGTATTATGTTTGTTATCAGAAAATCAACCTAAGACAGATCTTCAAGGTCGAATTGTTTATGATAAATCAGGAAATCCGATTTTTGAAGATAAATCAAATGAAAATAAAGAAAAATTAAATGATCAAGATAAAAAGAAAGATGATGTTGATGAAGATGAGCCACAATTTGTTCAGAAAGTTGATTCAAAAGGAAATTTGCTGTTTGATGCAAAAGGAAAACCAATTTTAGAAGAAATTAAAACAGAAAAATCCAAGAAAAAGAGAAGGAAACATAAACAAAAATCAAAACAAATGAGAGATCACAATGGAAATCCTATGTTTGATTTAGAAGGAAATCCAATTGATTCCAAAGAAAATGAGCCAAAACAAAAATTAGATGATGAAGGAAATCCTATTTTTGATAAAGAAGGAAACAAAGTTTATGATGAAAATGAGTATTTGATTCCAACATTCGACGAAAACGGAAAAATAATTTTGGATGAAGATGGAAATCCTATTTTGCAAAAGCCACCAATTTATCAAGATAACGATGAATATTCCGAAGATGATGAACCGAAGAAGAAACATAGAAGAAGGAAACTAAAATCTCCTAAGAAAGAAGAAGATGAAGAAATTCGAGTGAAACCACCAGAAAAATCCAATAAAAATTCATATAAAAGAAGAAGAAAAACTAAAGCTGAACCAAAGAAATACAAATACGCGATAATTAGATTCAGAAATGGATTCAAGAAGAGAAACAGAGTTCATTTAACAGGAGAACAGAAAGCATTGTTAAGAGCAGCTCCTGAATCAATGCCAAATATTAAATTGATTCCAAAAATCAAAAATGAGGATGAAGAAAAAGATGAATTATTGAGAACTCATCCAGAATTCAAAGAAGTTTTCAATGAAGAAGAAATGTTGAATGAAGATGAAAAATTAATGATGTCACCACCACTTTCTCCAGCACAGATCAGTTTGAATTCCAGTTTAGAGGATCTTTCCACTCCTGTTTTCATTTCTCCTTCATCTCCTTCTCCACAAGATTTCAGGAAACACATCATCAAAAGAGCTCTTTCAAGGAGATTAAAGAGAACTAGATTACTTTGTATGATTACTGATTCCGAAGTTGTCAATAAGAGATTGGAAGAAGACATAAGAGACTTCCAAGCACAAATTAAATTGCTTGAATTCGAAGCGAAATTGAATTCAGAAAAACTGAGATTTGATGATTCTTTGACAAGTCTAACACTTAATAATGTTGACAACAAAGCTCCAACAAAAAGTGTTGGAACTGATCCGATTTTATCTCAAAGAGAAATTGACCAAAAGAAAGAGAAAATTCATCGGCAAAAACATGAATTGGCTCCAGAAAAATTCAGCAACAATGAGAAGAGAAGACAATTGCTTGAAATGCAGACAAACGCAAAGAGTACGAAATTGTTTGAGATGCAACAAAAGAATAATGGTTTGGAAGAAACAATTTTAACAATGAAAGCTGAAATAGAAAAAGTTAAAATGAGAAGAGATCCTTCTTATGTTTCCAGCGAAACAGCTGCGCGTGTTGATGTAGAAGACCAACTTAGAGCGAAAAGAAGAGAATCTTTGTTACTTGAAAAGAAGATTCAAGATTCAGAACCAATGTTGAAATCTCTTGCAATTAAAGTTAATGATTTGAGATTTATTTTGGATAACAAGAACAAAGAACTTGCTGAAGGACAGAACAGAAAGAAACCTGATGTTCCTAAACTATGGAAACAACTCGAGCAGAATAAGAAACAAAATAGTATCGAGCAAGACAAATTGAAACAGATTTCACAAGAAATAGAAAACATTGATAAATTGATTGAAGATAAAAAGGATTCGATTGATGAAGAAGAAATACAGAACATTACAGAAGAAATCGAACAATATAAACAACAGATTTGGAGCTCTAAATCAGCATTTGGAAAGAGAATGAAGATTGATATGAGTTTGAGAAAAGTTCCTCTTTCTTTACCACAAGAAATGAAAGATATCGAGTTCAGAATTCAAAGCTGTGAAAGAGAGAAATCTCTTGTTGAGAAGGAAAAGTTGAAGATCAAAGGTGATATCGAAAAACTAAAGAGAGCTCTACCCCCACAATTCAAGAGCTTTTTTGCAAATATATAATAATTTAATAATATATTTTTATTGTTTGTATGTAAATTAAAACGATATATTTTTCAAAAATACTGATGTTGCTTCATTTATTTTAAGACTCATACTTCACATTATTGTTTTATATGTACAGAATGAATAGAGCTTGTGAAGGAAAAGTAACTTAAGTTTACAATAACACAAAATGTTGATAATGTGTTATCAAGAGAAAAATATTGGTAATAAAAAGACTAAGGTGAAATTTTTAATCAATAGATTAAAAAAAAAGATTAACTTTAATTAGAATCTTCGTGGGCTATTGCCTATACTATTAAATCAATTAATTCATATGTTAAACTATTTGCATATGTTCAACAGCAGCATCTGATTGGTTTTCTTTCTTCTTTTTGAGAATTATAAATACAACTGCAGTAATTACTATTATTACTACAATGACACCGATTACAGATCCCGCAATGATACCTTTTTTATTATTGCTGTAATTAATGTTGTCATATTTAATAATTAGAGATCTAAAATCTTCACTACTCTTAAATGTTATTTCATTGCCATTTATTTCATATGTAACTGCATTAGATTTATAATACAATTTTGGATGTCCTTCAACTTTAACGCGATACTCTTTATTCTTTTCAGATGCAACAAATGCAACATAACAATATCCATTCTTTTTACAAAAGCTGCCCCATTCGTCAGTATAATTTCCGCCATCAACTTGGCCATTTGCATTTGCCATAAAAGTAGTATCATTATGCATTTCCTCATAAATTGGTTTCCAGACATCAAAATATGCCGTCATTTGCTTACGAATTGTTTCATTATACCAAATTGTTTGACTTTTATCATAATGATCAACAGATGGAACACATCCAACAGCAGCACAATAACAAAATGCTGATTCTACATATTGATTACCATAAGATAAATCTAATATAGTCATTGGTCTTGAACCTAAACTAAATCTATGATTCCATAACCCATCTCTGCTATGAGTGAATTCATTTTTATTGAAGTACCTTTCAGAACCTGTTAAAGCAATATGCTGAACAACATTTGGAGGTGTTGTGCCGGCATTTATCCAAAAACCATTAGGTGCATATTGTTTAAATGACTTTAATAGATCTAAAGCTCCATTATACAAACGATAAAATTCTGCATTGTTATTTTTATCATCCAATATTTTATATGGATATATATCCAATGGCATTTCTTTATCTGTATAACTTGCATCATATCTTCCAAATACATCAAATGCAATTCCTGTGAACTTATATTTGTCCATCAACTTTTTCATTTCCTCTTGATATTGTTTCTTCTTTTCGGTTGAAATTAAGAAGAAACATGAAGAACCAGTAGTTCCATTATCATAGCAACGTAACTTTCCATCGATATCTCTTATGCCATATTCCAATGCCATTTTACATGTTTCATTTGGACACTTTCTTAGATTCTCTTCAATATTTTCGTCATTTTTAACCCATTGATTATTTATCATACTTGGCGAGTAATATCTAAATGCTTTAATTCTTGGAGGTGGTTCTTTTTCAAGCATATAATAACCCCAAAATGCATTAACTAGACATGATTTAAGTAATTCATCTTGTTTATACATGAGTTCATAATCCCAAGTAAACCAGTAACTAATTCCAATGCCATGTTTATCATAAATATCACTAAAAGCAAGGTGCCATTTTTCTAAAGCATCTCGATAACTTTTAGTTTCTACTTCCATTATAATACAAGAAACTTTAAATTTGGTTAATGGATGAATTGATAATTCCATGAAAGTATAGTTCTTGTATGTACGAGCATGCCAAGGTATAAAGTTATCATCATTGTAAATATCATAGCCAACAATTAAAGAGCTATTAGCAATAATTGGAGTTAACGTCAAATCAGTCTTTGATCGGGAAATAGGACTATTATATGACCAATAAAGCTTTGGTCTTTGATGAGCATTATTAATGTAAAGTGGAGAGAGATAAAATTGTTCTGTTGGTTCAATTTCTACAGTATATCTGTATATTTTATCTTTAATTTTTTCTTTTGTTGGAGATCCGTATTTCTGAATTTCAAAATCTTTCGCAATGAATTTGATAGTTGGTAGCTTAAAAACTGCTTCAGCATCTCCTGAGAAGAAGTAAACAACAACGTTAAGATCGTTTAATAATTGTCCGATTGGTCCTGATATTGTTTGGCTTGCGTTTGGATGAGCCCAGTTGATCTTTTGGCCATTCTTAAAAATATCAACATAGCACTTTTGATTGATATTCGTTGTAAGTGTGTTGCACGTTAACTCTCTACGATCAAAAACAAGATCTGGCAAGTTTGATATTTTTGTTTTAATATATGCAGCATTACTTGCATTGGTACCTTTTGGGCATGCTATGGTACCTTCTTCTTTATTGACTGTGCAAATTCGTTTAGTAATCATATCGAAAGAAATTGGTAGTGTATAGTAATAATCAGGCTTAAGTATTTTACGAATGAATACATCTTTTGCATTTACAGAAGAAGAAAATGCAATAAGAAACTGTAACATAACGTTGAAGTTTTTCTGGAAAAAAAATCGGACTTTACTTATCGTCGCATTTTCAATTTTTCTATTGATCGGATTCATATTAATGCAAACATGATTCAATAATGAAATACTGTTTCTTATTATATTCAAAAAGCATATTTGAAAATGCCGTTCATTAATTCCAAAGAAAATTATAAAATAAAAAAATTAACCTTCGAATTGATTAATCTGGATGAAATGGCTAAATATGAATGCAAATTTAATAATTCCAATAGATATTATTGATAATGGTGATCACCATTTAAATTAATTATTTTTTATTTGCATCGCTATAAACGATTAACGCAGAAAGCACTGAAATCCAAGAGATTTTTAGTGTATATGCATGATAATAATGGCAACTTCAGTGTTTTTTCATAGGCGAATACCAAACTAATAAAAAGCAAATGTTCATTCAAGCATAAAACGCTGATTATGAATGAACATAAAGTTAGCATTTTGTGAACAGGGAACTATTGTTTAAACAAATCCTATTTTACGAGAATTTCTTAACATAGTCTCATTATTCCTTCGCAGGTTAGGAAATGTCAAAAAAATTGAGAGGATGACAGGTTAAAGAAAGTACATTTTTATGGATTTTCAGATTAAAATTTAAGGCATATTTTGATTTCCATCACTTTGATAGAGCTAATTATTATCTGGTGATTGCTCTTGTTGCGGAAATTGTTGTCCTGATTGCTGTGAATAATGATTATAATATGGAGAATTAGGTGATACTCCTTGTTGTGGAGGAGACTGGTAAAAAACATTCGGAGCAGACAGATCAGGCAGTTGTTGATTGTTTAGCTGTAGAGGTTCGTAGAGCTGTCCAGGTTGTTCCTGGTTTGAATTAAAATCTTGAGACTGATTTGTTTGTAGTTGCCTCTGACCTAGAAATTGTTCATATTTTTCTTGCTCTTCCCTATATCTTTTTTGAACGCATTGTCTCCTTCTTTCCTTCTTTGCTTTGGCAGCATCATTAGGAGTCATTGTTGCATATTCTGCTTTTCGTTTTTCACTTTCCTCTAAAAATTTATCCATATTATCTTCGAAGTATCTCTCCTTTTCGTTGGCTGTTCCGCATGAAGCGCATGAAGCACACAATAATATTAGAGGGAACAAAAGATATGAAATCAACAAATATGCAATGTAACACATAAAGAAAAATATTCCACCGATAATCTCACGACAATATTCGTATTCTGTGCATCCTGGGCAAAACTCATTGCATCTCAGACAACGACAATGATTCTCCACATCATTGGAAATTCTGCAGCAGCATACTTCTTTACAGCAATTTTCATCATCCTGACATTTGCAAGTGCAGCCACAACAATAATCACAATGAACATACACATCATCACAAACTGCTTTTTCATGTGGGCAAAAGTCGCATTTTAAGTCACAGCAACCACAGCATTCACAGATCCAACAACTAAAAATATATTGTGCTAATGGATATGAACATTCTTTTTCCTGATCATTTTGAATATAATAATAATCGTATGCAGCATTGAATAATCCAGGGAATCTCAAATAGAAACAGTAAAATAGACATCCACAACGTATTGCTCTATCTGGATGCTTTGAAATCTAAATACAAAAAATAATAAATGCAAGGATTCCAGAAATATCATAAATTGAGATGATGATGTCATCATTTTAAGGGCACATCTCTTGATGTTGATGTATTTTTGTTCTGATAATGTTTTCATGATATTTCGAGTAATTTTTGTTTTTGTCATAACAATAGATTTGATGGTATTATCTGTTGTATTCGATGGTGTGAACTTGATAAAACCTGCTGTTTGATTAAGCATAACAGTCGAATATTTAATTGTTGTGCTAAATTTGATTTCTGTGCTATCTACATCATACACTTCTATTGTGTAATTGTACATGGAGGCAAAATTAATTGATAAAATGTTATTTTGGAAGTCGAAATAAATGCAAAAAGAATTGTCTTTGATGCTTAATTTGTGTGACATATTATCTAAATCATAAATTTTAGACTCGTTGGAACATGTTTTTGGTTCAGATATTGCCAGGTACACTAGGAAAAACATATAAATAATGATAGTCTTTTTAATCCAAAAAGTGTGAAAAAGATGGTAAATTTTCGATTTTACAAATTTGTTCTGGGAGCTTTACATTGCATAAAACAAGCAAATGTGTCATTCAAAATCAAAATCAAAAAAAAATTGAAAATTTATATCGGATGAAGAAATGCAGCTTCATATATGATTATATTGAATAATGCAATATATCTTGATATGTCACTCAAAACAACTTTTTATTGCTAGGTTGATCAAATAATTTATACAAAAATTCTTATTGGAAAGGTTTTAATTAGCTTTATTTCAATAAAAATATGTGTATAATCATGCCTATGGGTTATGTAAGCTTAATAGTTAATTTGAGGATTCACAATCGGTATCTCAAGATTATTCAGACCAATTTTTGTAAGATTTGAATGTGTTTGTATATGTTGATGTGATGCTAATATTATAAGGTTAAAAGTGTTTATACTTTTATAAAATAACTTGAAAATCTAGAAAAATTTTAAAGTTATTTTTGAAACATACGGACTCACGCAACTGATTATACTTTGACCCTTAATTTGATCATTCAAATTGTCATTTCGAAACTCTGAAATAAAAGTGAAATAATTTACTCATATATTACTCGTTTGATGACTAATAATGACCGTATTATATTAAAGTTATTTAATAATATTGTCTAAAAGAATGAACTGTACTTAGTAATAGCAAAAATATATTTTTATTTAAATAAGAAATCGTTAAAAGAATTCCGCGAAGATTGAATCAATATTAAAGTCAAGTATGTTTGATATAGGATCTTGTGGAGATTATTCTTTATCAGATTCTTTTGGTTTAAAATAATTATAATAAAAATCAAGCGTTACATTATGCCTAATTAGAAAATTGTACCTAGCTCTCACGCTAACGTCTGATCTTCCGCTTAAATATTTCGCGATTCTTGCCCATTGCGGTCCAAACTCATTATATTTTTGGAATATATAATGTGGTCTTCTTTATCAGTATAAGGTTTTCTATTGATATTTGGTGCCAAGAATTTTTCCCATCGATCTTTGCACTGTCTAGGATTTCTATTTTTCATCTGTTTTGAAATCATATACCAATTCGCAGGTCCATGTTTTTCAACTAATCTCTTCAGCTTTTTATCTTCATCTTCTGAAAAATAGGACTTTGTGGTGGATAGCATTACAGGAAACGAACAAAAAATAAATTAAATTAAAGCTAGAATTTATTATCAAAAAATTCAAAGAGTTCGAGGTTACAACCGTTGGATTTCTCAAATTATTGAATAATCATTAGATTATACTTATTATATTAATGTATCATGTATTTCACATTTTCTTGATTATTAAGAGTTAAATTCTCCGATCATTTTCATAGGAAAAATTGAGGGGTTAAAATTTCTAATTGTCACCGACCAAATATAAATAATTATTCAAATAAAATGTTAATATTAGCATATTATAAAGCTAATTTCATTTTCTAATTTCATGAATTAATTCAATTAATGATGGTTCGATTACGGGCGTAAATTCAAAAAATAATCAACTGAATAAGAATTTAAACAGAAGCATCATGTAAATAAATGACAATTTTTATAATTATAAAAAGTATTGTTTATTATTAGAAAATCACTGAAGCTGGAATTTAACCACGTTTTCTCACCTCTTTTCTAACATAACTATTTACAAGCGTTTTACATGGTATATGTTGCGATGGTTCATGACTTTAAACAGTTTTGTAGCTTCTATTTCTTCGCTGAGGATATCGAATGTTTTAACTATGCCGAAAGTTTCTTTATACTTCTTCTTGACGTCAGACAGAAGGAAATCTTCAGCAGTTGGATAGTTTTTGTTCAGAAATGCTAACATGTCCATTTTATTTTCTACCGGCTTCTCTGCTTCTTTCTTTAAGTCTGCATAGTCGTTTCTCATACGTTCTATCTCTTTGACGGAGTAGTTATATTTCCTAATTGCCGCTTTACATTTTGAACATTGCGGGTTCATTTTTGCGTTATACATTGAAATAAAACCAGCTAGAACAACTAAAGCGTCAATGGTTTTCTTTAACTCAAAAGTTGCTGGTTTTATCTGTTTATTCCATACTTTGCCTCTTCTATCTTTATCTCTTATCTGCCATACACATTCAGCAACTAACGAAACAAAGTTGTCGTAGGTCTTAAATTCTTCAGATTTATATATGTCAGAAACATTCTTATATACCATGTCGCAATCTTTGTCCATAACCTTATGGTTGCAATGAAATCCTAGAAACTCATAGTTTACCTTTCGTATGAACTTCTTTATTTCTACTGAGTCAGTTGCTTTGACTTCTATTTCGTCGAATTCAGGAATAGTGTGTTTTTGTTGCTGAATTTCAGGCAATTTGGGTAAATGGTCAATAATGTCCTGCATTTCATAAAGATACTGTTCATTTGTTTCATCTTTCGCACTACAGTCTAAATTACATGTTAAAAGTTCTTGCTTTATCTTCTGGATTTCTGTTTCGAAAGTATATGAAGAAGGAATGAAGCTTTTCATCTCTACTAACATAGATGTTGGATTCATGACTAACGAGTTTGGTGCTGTTGTTTGAATTGTTGTTGTGCCGATTGTTGAAATCATATCTTTTATACAAAATAAAAAAAATAAAAAAAATAAAACTAACTTTATTTTTTATTTCGGGAAAATTCATGAAAATTCAAGAGGTTAGAAAACGTGTTAGAAAACGTGTTAGATCTAACATTCTAACATAAATTATATTTTTGGTGTAAATTTCATGAAAATTCAAGAGGTGAAAAAAGAGGTGAAAAAACAGGTGAGATCTAACATTCTAACATAAACTTTATTTTTGGTGTAAATTTCATGAAAATTCAAGAGTTTTAGACCATGTTAGAAAACGTGTTAGAAAACGTGTTAGATCTAACATTCTAACATAAACTTTATTTTTGGGTCCTTTACACTCATTACGAAGAAGTCATGACAAAACATTTACGAAGAAGTCATGAAAATTCAAGAGGTGAAAAAAGAGGTGAAAAAACATTTACGAAGAAGTCTTGACAAAACATTTACGAAGAAGTCTTGACAAAACATTTACGAAGAAGTCATGAAAATTCAAGAGTTTTAGACCATGTTAGAAAACGTGTTAGAAAACGTGTTAGATCTAACCATCTACCCGACATTCTCGTCAAATACAAAAAAATGACACTTTTTCATTAGATAACTGTTATTTTTTGACGAAGTGAACGTTGACACTTCGTCAAAAAAATCCCTGAAATCATATCTTACATACAAAAAAATACAAAAAAAACTAACTTTATTTTTTCTATCCTAAGGAAATTCATGACAAATTCATGAAAATTCAAGAGTTTTAGACCATGTTAGAAAACGTGTTAGAAAACGTGTTAGATCTAACATTCTAACATAAACTTTATTTTTGGGTCCTTTACACTCATTACGATGAAGAAGTCTTGACAAAACATTTACGTTCATGTTTGACAAAACATTTACGAAGAAGTCATGAAAATTCAAGAGGTGAAAAAAGAGGTGAAAAAACATTTACGAAGAAGTCTTGACAAAACATTTACGAAGAAGTCTTGACAAAACATTTACGAAGAAGTCTTGACAAAACATTTACGAAGAAGTCTTGACAAAACATTTACGAAGAAGTCATGACAAAACATTTACGAAGAAGTCATGAAAATTCAAGAGGTGAAAAAAGAGGTGAAAAAACATTTACGAAGAAGTCTTGACAAAACATGTACGAAGAAGTCTTGACAAAACATTTACGAAGAAGTCATGAAAATTCAAGAGGTGAAAAAACATTTACGAAGAAGTCATGAAAATTCAAGAGGGTAGAAAAGAGGTGAAAAAAGAGGTTAGATCTAACCTTCTACCCTAAAAGTATTTTTCAATACTTTTTCAGCACTTTTCCGTAGTTATATATGAAAGACAATTCGAGATAAAAGTCATAGTACAATGGAATAATATGTTGCACACCATTTGTTGTGAACCAAACTTGAAAGTCAGAGAAACTGTTACTAGGTGGTTCGTAGAATTTAGAAGCAAAGTCATAAAAGTCCTTACCAATACATAGAAAACTATTGTTGCTTGAACTGAAACTTGCATGACACATAACATTTTGAGGGTCAAACACGTTTCTATAAACTGTCAAATCTGCTGGTGGAAGTATAAATTGAAATGGACCATCTGGTGGTAATGGTTCGTTCTGGTTTAGTAACCGAAGAAATTGTGCCCAAGAACGTTTGTCTACTTTCCAAAATAAAAACTCTGTATCTCTTGGAGGGTTAATTTCAATCTTTTGAAATGAAACGGTGGAGTTCATCTTGTCATATTCTAGTTTCAGATAGTATGTTCCATTTAGTAAAGAGTCGTATTTTTCTTGAAATTCCCAATAATATTTGTTCATTTGAGTTTGAAAGTCATTTAGAGTTTTCTCAAGACTTTCGTCTGAACGAACTGTAAAGATTCTCATTTCGTCAAATTTGTCTATTAGACCATCAGAACCTTTATACTGCCCATGAAAATATACTGCGAACATAAATGCGTTAGTTCTATTTGAAAACAAAACTCTTCTAAATCCTATTGCCTTTGCATCTGAAGGACTTTGAAGCCAACGAATTGGATAGTCAAACCTGTATGCTCGGGATGAAATTTCTTCATCTGAAATAGTCCTACCAGCATTTGTAAAGATATAGTCTAACGGTTTTGTATCTGCTACTTTTGTTCTTTGTTTTTCAACCTGAAGCATTTAATATATGTAAAAATATATTGTTTTAAAATGGTATGCCATTTCATATTTCTCATCTAACAAACAAGTTTCCCAACGGTCTTCTCCAACAAACTCAGCGTACATTTCAAATAAAATTTAAAAAATGTCACTTTTTTAAAATAAATTTTTACTTCATGCAATGTTTTATTTCTGTGCCGTCTTCAAGTATGCCCCAATACTTACGCTTGGAGAGGACATGAACTTCAGAAAATACCTTATCTAGCTTAAAACAGCCCATCTTTTCACCGACCATTCCCATTTCAATGAGTTTGTTATAGCCTTCTTCGTTCGTCATGAGTGCGTCAATGTTCTCATAGTAAAAATAATGTTAGAATGTGTTTTAGACTATGTTAGGAGCTGCATAGTAGCCTCCTTTTGCAACAAGCTCACTATGAGTGCCGCTCTCAATTACTTTTCCTTCCTTGAAAACAAGGATTCGATCAGCATTAATAACTGTTGCAAGTCTGTGAGCAACAACAATGGCTGTTTTTCCTTGGCGCACCTTTTCAAGTGATTCTTGAACAAGTCTTTCACTCTCTGTATCAAGAGCAGCGGTGGCTTCATCGAGTAAAAGTATTAGTGAGTTCATCAAGATTGCTCTGCTGATGCAGATTCTTTGTTTTTGACCACCAGAAAGGCTTGTAATATCAACTTCTGTTTTGTAGTTCTCTGGTAACCTCATAATGAAATCGTGTGCATTTCCAACTTTGGCGGCGTTGGCAATTTCACTATCAGTCGAATCCATTTTTGCATATCTGATGTTATCTTTAATGCTCATCGAAAATAAAACTGGTGATTGTGGGACAATTGAAATGTATTTTAGAAGGTTATATGGTGATATCTTACTGACATCAATATCATCAATTAAGATTTGTCCACTTTCAATATCATAAAATCTCTGAAGTAGTTGAAGTGTTGTTGATTTTCCGCATCCAGATTCTCCAACAAGAGCAACTGTTTCTCTTGGATTGATTGTAAATGAAAGATCATTAATAGTGTAATGCTCTGTCATTGGATACTTGAAAACAACATTCTTGAATTCAATTTTTCCTTTGATATCTGATTTGAAGTCATCACCTACTCTCCTATCAGTGATAATAGGTGTTTCAAGGATGTCAAGAACTCTTTCACCTGAAACATTTGCCTTATTGAAGTCATCAATCATCTGTAGTGCTTGAGTAACACCAATTGTTGAGAAGATCAATGATGGCACAAGAATCATAAGATCTCCATTCTTTATTCCCCATTCTGGCTTTTTAGCAATCATCCAAGTTGTATAATAGATGATACCAATGATCATGAACAATGAAATGGCTGTAATTGAACCATCCTTGCAGCCGATAATGATTGATGTTCTGTTATAAACTTTGTTGATTTGATTGACACTCTCCTCAAATTTGTCAGCTTCTTTCATTTCATTATCAAATGATTTCACAGTTTTGATAGCCATGATTACTTGTTCTGCCTTAGTCGATGCATTACTAACGCTCTGATTGAACGCATGCCATAGTCTTCCAACAAAATATTCTCCAATGTAATAAATTACAATGCTCAATGCAATGGCCGCACAAGCAATTAATGAAACTCTCCATGAGTATACGAATGAAAGGATAAGTCCGCATAAGGCTTGGATGATGTTATTGAAAACTTGCAAGAACTTTGCAATGTAAACTTCATTCAAAACTGCTACATCAGAAGTAATATTGTTGAGCAATGTACCTGTTTGGTTAGCATCAAAGAATGAAATGTCCAGGTTCATTAACTTCTTGTATATGTTCTTACGGATATCAGTTTGAAACCAAGGGCCAGAGCTTCCTCCAAGGATATCCTTTATTTCCATTACTATACTGTATGCGACGCAGTAAATAATGAGCTTGATGCAAATTTTACTGACTTCGGAATCAAAATCTTTTGAAGATGTCATAACATTTGCAAGATCACCCATGAAAATTGTGAGACAAACTGGAAGAACTCCAGCAGCGATAACAAAGAAACTTGCAATGATAAAAATATACTTCCTATCATAATATAGTGTGTCCAAAGGTGTGTTTAGCACAAACCTGAATACTGCGAATAGAAATAAACAAGTTACATATATATAAAGTTTATTTAAATATAATCACCATTGGATTCAATCACGCGTTCGCAGCGATCGATCCAGGCTTGAAAGACACGCTTTAAATCATCATGAGAAAATTGCTCAAATTGCTCTCTTACAAAATTTTCAAGATCATCTGGACTCGCGAATTCGCGTCCTTCAGCTCTCTTTTTTAGCGTGCCGAATAAATAAAAGTCAGAGGGTGCAATATCAGGTGAATAAATTGGGTTTGGAATAACTTTGACATTGTTTTCCAACAAGTAATTCATTACCTTATGACTTTTGTGAACTCTTGAATTATCAAAATGAATTGCAAACTTTGTTTTTGTTGTTTGGATTTCTCAAACTCATCAGAATTGATAATTTGAGTAAGAACATTGTCAATTAGATACTGAGCATTCATCGTATTCGGTTTTTGAAGAATATCAATTGCGATGATGCCATTCACGCCCCAAAAAACCGACAACATCATCATTGGTGTGTCAATTTTTTTCTTCGGGAATGTTTGCGGATTTTCATCCTTCGGGATCCACATGATTTTGGCTTCTGTTGCATATTGAAACCAAGACTCGTCCCCTGTTACTAAAAAGCGAAACTTCTTGGATTGATACGCACCCAATATAGAGAGGAGCTCTTTCGAAGATTGGACTCTAGATTTTTTTTGAACTGAATTAAGGTTGTGCGGAACCCAACGTGTATACGCTAGTTTGTAGTTCAAATAATTGTGCAGATAATAACTGACTGTTGTACGTGGTATCTTTGTCATCTCCTCTATCCTTCTGAGTGATGCTCTTGGGTCTTCATCTAGCGCTTGAAGAATTGCTTTGATTTTTCTTTGATCCGGCGATTTTTTGTCAATTTTTATGATGGGCGCCTTTTTGTTCATGAAGTGATACATCCTAACATGATACGTTACAGTGGAATAGCTAGGAGCATCCATACCGAAGCATTTTACCAATGTCTCGTAGATTTTTTTACAGTCTTTGCATTTTTTTGCAAGAGCGAGGATGTTTTCTTTATGATTCATTAAAAAAATGAAAAAAAAATCCCGCCAAAATTTCCCGCGAAACCGCCTCTTGTCTCAAAATTCATTTTATATCCCGGCATGGCGCCAAAATACAACATACTCATCATATACATATATTCATATTTTTTATTATATATTTATAATCAGCATATATCTCCTTTAATAGTCTCATATAGAGCGCTGTGCTAAACGCACCTTTGGACACCCTATATTAATTGTTTGGAGATTGTTGGCATTGGATTATCAATTTTCCCTAATGTGTAATTACTCATACTTGTAATGATGTTACCAAGGAAATAGAAAGTGAAAATAGGGAATGCTCCAGTAACAAGCGTTGGTATTAAAGATCCAATTGCATATGGATCTGTTAATAATAATGAGTAAACTTTTCCACGTCATTTTTTATTCTCTTCTTTCGAAAATTTTGTTTGAACTTCACAAGAGCTTGTGCTCATCGAATACTCGCTGGAACTCCTATCAGAGTATTCATGTGAAGATCGTCTATTAGCCGGCATTATGAAAAATGTTTTAATATCTGCTCAAAAAAATTTTATTTTTCAATTTGAAAAATCTACCGATATTCAAAAATATATGAAGTTAATTATGTTTGTTATATTGGTCTTATAACGAATTTAAAGTCGATCAAGTGTTGTTGTTAGTCATTCAAATTTTTGACAAGGATTGAAATTTGTATTGTTGATGAGTCATCAATTTATGATGATTATTGAACCACATTATCATTTGGCTAACATACAATTCTCAAAAGACATGATATTGACGCTTATTTTGTATTATTCTCGTCTAAAAATATTATTTGTATTAGCAAAAATATTATCATATCAGATTCATGAATCTCAGAATCATCTGGAATGAAGTTATTTTTCTGGATTATTTAATGAACTATAAAGATAATAGATAATATTTTAATATTTGCAGTCATTCTGCCAAATCATTCTCATTCCTCTATTTTGCATGAAATCTAAGCTATTGTTGCTTTATGGTTTGAAATTCACTAATACAAATGATAAAAATATTAAATATCATTAAAATTAGATTTTTTAATTGAATATAATTTATCAATAGGATCCTCTGTATATGCATGGTATCCAGCAATCATTATTCAAAAATTAAAAAAATGAAGAGTAAAATGCAAAGAGGTGCGATTCAATTGTGTATTAAAATAATACAATAAAGATCGACTTAATTTTATGTTTGAACGGTTACCCTTTCAAAGCATTCAATATCGGATGTAAAACTATTTTTTTTTTCTGACTGTAAAAAATAACGAAACCAAAAAATCCATTTCTTGACATCGCATTTAAATGCTTTGTCAAACCCCATGACATGGAAGAGATAGTCCTTGATAAAATGGGAATAACCTCTATTGAACCTGATCAATTAAAACTATTTCCAAATTTACAAGTGTTGTATATAACCAATAATAAACTCGAAATCCTGAATAATTTAGAACCATGCATTAGGTTGCTTGTTATTGATGCAAGAAATAATTTATTAAGCGAAATTGACCTTAGGAAGCAGACTTTTTTAAACGCGTTATACTTGGCCAACAACAAATTTGAATCTATTGAAAATTTCCTAAAGCAAACAGCAAATTTACGTAACCTTCAGATTTTAGATTTGCGTGGGAATGAAATCACTCAGAATAAAGGATACCGCCAAGCAATCATTGAAAAATTTCCAAGTTTAGAGATACTAGATGGTTTAGAAGTTACAAAAGCAGAGAGAAAGAAGATAACAATATCAAGAACGTTACCAAACCAGAAAAAGCCCTTATCTATGCTAGACTTCCTCAAATCACTTCCTCTTTCTGATGCTGATTCCAGAGTATTGCGTCGCGCTGACCAAATTAGAGCTGCCACTCAATTACGTTTACAGAAGGAAGAAGAAGAGAGACAGAAGATAGAACGTGAGCAAAAAGAACGCTTTGAAGCATTCGCAAACATAAAAAGAGCGCCTCTCCCTGATTGTGTTGGCTTTAAACGGGAAGAAGTTATAATTCATAAAAACACAAGCGAAACCGTTAGAAGAAGATCGCGATCTAGAATGTTTATAAAGGCGTCTACATTCCCTGAATCAGCGAAAGACGAAGGAACTTCGTTCTTCGAAATGATGAATCCAACCTTGCCAAAAATCCCAACAAGAAGGTACAATGAAGCGGTTATATTTGCAAAATAATGAGAATTGTGTATTTCTTATTCCTGCGAATTGAGCTGAAGAAGAAATCCATATTTGTTTTTTTATATGATATATTATTGAATATTATTATAATAAATTATATTTTCATGCGATAATGATGTTATTCTTTTCATATGCGCTGTCTATTTAATAGATACGAATTGACATAATTTATGTCTCGTATCTGCGGAGGAGTATATGCTACTAAATATGTTTTTGGTCAATAAGATTGGATTAAATATCGAAAGAATCATGCTTTGAGTGGCAAAAAATATAACTTGCAGTAGAATTATGCATATGTTTGGCTTTGTCCTAGCCTTACTTGCAGAATAGATAGTATATTGATTTGTTCTTATCATATATTAACGTGATAATCTTTCCCAAATTTAAGAAATATTGAATCAGAGTAAATTATGTGCATTTTCGAAGTTTTAAGTTGCTGGAACCGATTTACAATATATGCTACTGATCATTGTTCGTATCTCAAACACCAAATCAGCTGAATAAAAACTAAGATATAAATTTTGACCCTGTGTTTTCATTAATTTGTTCAATAAGTAATGATCAAAATAATTCAAATAAGAGTAGATTAACAAATCAGGTGAACATCATCGAAATGAAATCTGTAATCCCAAAAAACAACCGTATAAGATGAAATATTATTGAGTAAATAAAAATACAACGATATTATTATTTTACAATATATACATCTTTCGGAGTTATTAGTTCCCATGGCCTGCAGGTTAAAACATCTGGGAAAGTGATTTTTTGGTTAAGAAGTGAGTAAGTGCAATAGGCTTCCGCAGCATTTTCTTGCTTCTTCGGTTCCTCCTTAGGTTCTGGGACCTTTTTCTCCTCAAGATCGTTATAATCCATGTAATGATTGTATAAATACTTGTGCCATCTATTTTTGACGTTGTTTCCACTTCTCCCAACAAGGAACTGTGCAATTTTCGACCATGAGTTGCCATATATCTTGTTCTTCTCAATGATGATTCGATCTTCTTCTGGAGTCCATGGTCTTTTAACTATTTCCTTGAATAGATAGTTATTATATCTATCCCTGCACTGTCTAGATGTTCTTCCTGGCAATTGCTCACTAATTTCTTCCCAGTCTTTGATTCCTTCAACTTGTACTAGCTTTTTTAGTATTGCATCCTCTTCTGGAGAGAACCTTTTCCTTGTAGTGGAGAAACTCTCTCCATACGTGTTGTCAGATGAGCTATCACTCATTAATAATTTTATTCTATGTTCTCAAATATGAAACTCTCTCAAAAATGTAGTTGACCTTAGATTTTTATGTTTGTACAAAAAATTATTTTATTTAATACACTGTGTTAAGTCATTTAATATAATAAGAACATTGTGTTTTTCAGAAAAAAAATTGAGAACTTCCGACATTTGTTTGTTAAAAATAATATTACTCTTATGGTAACTTTCGGAATTATATTTTAATTATTTTTATGAATTGACCGTTAAGTCTCAAAAGCTAAAAAATTTGAATTATTTTCAATTTTTAAAGGCAATCTATGGGATTTCAGCATCGAATTGGAATACTCTGATTGTATTAGTCATATAGCGATAATCGAAAATCGCAGTATTTTATCGCTGGTTCAAAATAATTGTAATGGTCCTCTCTGAATTTTTTATTTTTTGAATCCCGTTAATGAAGGAACGTTCAATATACCTTTCTGTATTTATGCTCTCTAGACCATGAATAGTAATATTATTAAAATCAGATTTCCCGAAATTATTTTGTTCTCATTTTTTAGAAAAATTGATTTTATCTGAATATTGGTTCAATAATATTCACTCTTTGTTTAAGTTCCTTGTATAGGTTCTGATTATGTCATATAATGATAACATTATTTAACTGTATTTTTTATTCAAACATCGAAATTTTAGATGTCCATTCATTTTTTAAAGATTTTAGAAGTTTTCTCGGTTAAGCATATTATATCAATTATACTGTTTATATGAGTGTCGGATTAATCTAAGTTATGGCTCATTTAATAGGTTAGAAACAAATATTTCTCTCAAATAATAAATTTCTTTGGATGATCGGCTAATTATTACATAATAATGTATCTGAAAAAATATTATAAAATCTTGTGATATTCATAAAGAACGGTTTTATGAAGAACCTTCATTGAAATTCCTAACAAATAATTGAAATGGAAAATTACAATACCTTTATTTGTATATGATTATTTGATGTTCAAGTTTTTATCTTAAATTTTTACAGATTGAATTGACATCAGAAAATTTAACTATGCTTACTTATTTTTATGTTTCCTTTACTTTATATCGGTAATAATGTTAAACTGAGAACGCCTGTCAAAGCCTGTTAAATTGGTGTTTGATATCGGGAAATCAAACTTTTCACAAATTCAGAAAAGCTGTAAGATATGAATTTTCTCTTTTGTAAATTGTATTAATTAATGCAATATTATGTCATGGTCTACCGAAAAAATGGTTTAGGAGAATTTTCAGAGTCAGAGAAATGAGAACCTCAAAGAAAATTTACAGGCATCAAAAATTTACAGGCAATTTATGAATAATCATTTTGTATTAGTACTCCAAATACAAGATAAAACGCGTTATCTTCGATTTTATCATGGCCGAATTAAATCAATAATTTTCAAAAATCCATTGTTTTTGACTGTTATGAATAGACATTTCGGACCTATATCCAAAATATAAGGAGTTTTAATAATTATTTGTAATTCATGTGTAAGTTGCCGGACAAATTAAATTGCTATTTTTTTATGCAACCCATTTAGGCTGTTTATAATGGTACAAATAGATATATGGCCCTAATCTTATTCCAAATTTGGAAGATTATGCCTATCTATTGCAAAATTGCTAAAAAAGCCCATTATATATTTCTATGTAAACTATACAAATACAAAAAAATTCTGAATATCTGACAGAAAAAAAAATCTTGAGAGAAAAAAAAAATAGTAAAATAAAGCCGACTAAAAATATTAATATTTAAATACAATCTATAGTTTTTCTAGGTAATATATAAAGAGATCCTGACTTAATTAACACATTGTAACAGGAACCTCTCATTGAAATAACCGCATCAATTATTTCATCGTTCAAACAGAAAATTTTCTTATCAAAAGTCAATTCGATAGTGTCAGACTCTAAAATTACACCGTTCTTGCACCCGAGCACAATGTAATCGAATCCTTTCGATGTTGTATATGTTTCTAGAGATGTCACTTTTTCGTTTAAATGACACTTTTTTACAAAATCTCCATTAATTGTGTAAAGGAAAATTTCGTCATCTTCGGTTAAAATAACAATAAATCCCCATCCACTTGTAATCTTCACCTTGGATATATCTACATCGAAATCCAACGAAAGAACATCTGTATTTCCTGATAAAGAATACAAACAAATGTTTCTTTTTGAGTAAACTAAAACAGAATGGAAAGAAACTGAGATTTCGACACCAATCGCATCTCCATTGTAATAAGGAAATGAATTAGATCCATCAAAATTGGGTTGAAGAATCCTTACAATGTTATCGTCGCCAATAATTGCCATGTAAATTTGGCAAAAATTGAAATAAACAACTTTTGAATTCAAATTAATTGTTTTGTCAACGTAAAAAACGAAACCATTCTCGTTAACAACGCATTTGTCGCCAAAACCAACAATTTCTCCTTGTTTTGGTACCCTCATCATATCTTGTGATGAAATACATGCAAAGATAATTTGTTTTTCTGTACAAATACTCACAAAATCTTCGAAAATTTTGCCTTTTTCAACAACTTTTTTCGTAAATCTTAAAATTCTGGTTTTGACAGTTGGTTGTGTCAAATTGTCACTTTTTGGTGGATGAGGTTTGTCAAATATTTGAGCAGGCATTTGACCGAGGTGTTTCAATCCCAATTCCAATGTATTTATCTGTTCTTTTGTCAGATTTTTTTGGTCCCAAACATTGTCATATAAATCTGGATTGAAAATGTTATCTGACAAAACCACTTCGTCACCTTTTTGTTTATAACCGAACATCAAATCAATCCAATGATTTAAGTTCTTAGAAACGAAATCAGACTCAAGAGATTTCCTCATTTTATAAACGAATTCAAAAGGAGAATTATTTGACCATTTTGGAAGCAAAACATTTCCTTCGTTTTCCAAACCTAAATTAAATTTATCTTTGTTGAGAAGGAAATCTAGATAGAAAAAGAACTCAGGAATTAATTCTCTGAAATCATTCATATCATTAGAAACATTTTCAAAGAGTTGTTCTATTGATTTGAACTGTCTTTCAGCTGTATCAAATTTTCCATCCTGAATGTCAATGTGTAAAGAAGTAAATGGTTCAACTCTAACTAATAAAAGGAATAAAGTCAATGGACAATTCGGTCCATTAGAATATAAATAATACTTTTGGTCATTTGTTTTCAAACATTCCATTAGTTTCTTAAGCATTTTAAGTCTGTTTTCGTTCAATGCACCAATGGGTTTCGTTAAATCCCTGTAGACATTTTCGTCATTTAAATTAAGCTTGTCACTTTTATAATCGGTCAAAGTCCAAGGGAAAATTGGGTATTGATTTGAACAACGGAATGTTCGACCAGAAACTAAATTCAAGTAGATCAAATACGAGAAATTAGAAAGCTCGCCTTTCACCCATTTCTGAAGAAATTGATCGTTATCTTCAACGATCATTTTTCTTGAAATATTTATGTCACTTTTTATTTTTTCGATTTCGTTTGAAAATTTATTTCTTTCTGATTCACTGCGAAATCTCAAAAAATACGTTTTTCCATTGATCAAAGACAACAAAGCTGAATCGAAATGATGCAAGTAAGTCGTGTGTCTGATCAATCCAATTATGTCGTAACGTATTTTTTGACTTTTTCCGGTTGGAAAATTGACATAAAATTCTTTTTCGTAAATTTTGACTTCAGCAGTTTTTTGTTTTGAAATAGTGATCCATTTGATTTGGAATGAACACAAAGAAGGTCTAAATAATGAAGAATTAATTCGATCGAAGTTTTCGACCTTTTTTGTGTCACTTTTTTGAGAAAACAATTCAATTTCTTTGTTTAAATTTTCTGCATCTTTGTGGTCATCGAAATTATGGTTAACTTTGAGTTTGAAAGGGCATGTTGAGTAACATCCTGTTTCATCTCTTCTGTAGTGTTTCTTTTCATTAGTTTTCCATGTCAAAGATGAAGAAGAAACAAAATTTTCGACGATTTTCCATGATTTTCTTCCTTTGTACAAATCAGATTTCATCATGTGTAGTTCTCCTTCAACAGAAAGAGCCCAGAGGGCTGATAAATCATGGTATTCCATGTTGTATTTGATTCCATTTTCGAAATAACTTTTGATTTCGTTTATATTTTGAAAATCAAAAGAAAAATCTTTCGAAAAATTCTCAAAACAAATGAAATCATTAACAAAACATTGATAATCATTTGATTTTGTTAATAAATACATCTTAAACATTAAGAATCTTTCGAAATTCTTTTTGTTTCTCGAGTCATTTTTCGAGAAAATGTTTTCAACATATAATTCGAAATTTTTGAATTTCGAACTCAACAAAAAATAACAAATAATATAAAACAAATCGTCGCATTGCATTCTCTCTAATACACTAAGACTATTAAAGCATAAATGTGCATCAATCCATTCTCCATTGGAATCTAAATTCAATTGAAATGTCACTTTTTGCTGTTTCAATTGAATTTTTTCAATAAAATTCAATAAATCAGAGAAATTCGCGGTATTATTAACAGTTTGTTTCATCTCGAACTGCTCAAAAATATCAGGAGTTACAAAAGGAGATGACATAAAAAGTGACAACATAACCTTATTTTCTGAATTAAAGAATACATAATTTTTGAACAAATCAATGAAAATTTTTGAAATATCTTCTGTCAACAAAATATCTCCTGAAGAAATATAAGTAATAATCGCATTCAAAAATTCACTTTTTGCATTACAATTAATTGAGAGGAAATCGATCATTGTAAATATCATTTTCCATTGTAAAGGATCACACAAAACTAAGAACCTCAATAGTAATTGTCTTGTATAAGAGTTTGTCAAATGTAAAATGAATAAAGGATAAATAAACCAACATTTTTCAGCTGCAAATTCCTTAGAAGGATAAATTCCTGAGAATAATAATTCAATTGCTTCAATTTTTCCAATTTTTTTCGCTGCAACACAACAAATAATTAATAAGGAATAGTCTGTCTTCATCATGTCTATGTATATTTTCAGTTCTTCCATTGTTATGCACTCAAAATTCTTTGCAAAATAAATTAAAATATCCTTTTTGTCATGTAAAATTATTTTGTTACATGTCAAAAAAATAAAAATTTCCAAAACCAATGGAGCAAAATCAGAAATTTTTGATAAAGTCATCAATAAATCAATAGTTTGGTTTGCAAACTCAGAAACAGGACATGGATTAGTGTGTATAATATTATTCAAACACACTAACACGAATTTGGAAAATTCTCTGTCAGGATTTGATTGACAAAACGAAATCATTAATTTGAAATTGTTTAAAGAGAATTGGTTTTGTGCAATCAATGTAAGAATTGTCATAAATAATGATCTGAACTCTTCCATTGGTATTTCTTCCTGCTTTAATGATATTTCTGGTCTAAAATTGTGTAGTTGTGAATATAAATTGTAATGTAAAGAAATTTGACACAAAAACCGTTTAAATGGTTTAATTTTAGCAATTGAAGAATAATGAGTAGGAATTAGTTCATTTGCCCAGTGTATGTAGACTTGGAGTTGGTCTTCGCTTCTTGATTTTGACCAAATTGTTGAATTCAGCAGAATTTCATTCATCATCTGATTTTTTAGTTCTGTTTGCGTCAAGTTCAAATAAATTTCGTAAAATTTCTTGTAGAGTTTGAATGTGATGAATTCAGTCGGTCCATTTGTAATTAAGTAGAAAATGATGTGGAATCCATCTCTTTTTAGGAAAATTAACTCTGATTTCTGGTTGTAATTCAACATCAGTTCTAAAAGACAAAGAACTTTTTCATACAAATCTTCATTCATTTTTATTTGATTTTCTTCAATTTGTAAATTTATATCTAAATTTGTTGGATCATTTTCTTTATTTTTATTACTACTGTTTTTATTTGTTTCATTGTTGTTTAACTCATTTTGTTTATTTCTTTCTTCTTGGACTCGATACTGTTGATTTTCTTCTTCATTTTGTTGATTCTTAACATTTTCTTCTTTGTCATTTTCTTTACTTTTCTCTTTTTCTTCTTCATTCTTGTTCATATTTTCTCTTTCAGATTCTTCTTTATTATTTTTAATAACAACTGAGTCGTTTTTCACTTCATTTTCTTCTGTTTCTTTTTGTCTCTCTTCACTTTCTTTTTTATCATATTTGTTCTCATTAGAATTTGCTTCATTATTTTCTTCTTTTTCAGAAATTTCCTTCTTTTCAGTTTGATTTTCATCATCACTTTCTTTTCTTGCTTTTTCGTTATGATTTTCATTTTGATTTCCTTCATTTTCATTGTTTTCATAAGAATTCTTTTCATTATTTTCTTCTTTTTCAGATATTTCTTTCTTATCATTTTGATTTTCTTTTTCTTCTTTATTTTCTATTTTCCAAGAGTTAAACAAGTTGAAACACAAGTCAAATCTGCACTGATTGACGAGTACAGAAGAAAAGTTTTGTTTTGAGAAAGAGATTTCTTTCGATTCTTCGAAAACGAAAAAGTTTTTGATTTCACTCAAAAATCTGAAATCTTTTTCTTTGATTTTTTCAATGTTTTGCTGAGAAATTAAATTGGAAATCAAGTAATTACTCAACAAATGTTTTGATTGAACACTATTCTCAATCATTTTACTGCCAACAGTAACAGTCATCGTCTCTTTTATCTCAGAAGTCATAAAACAAATCGTTTCATCATTTAGTGTCAAATTTGTGTCACCTTTTTGAGAAATTGACAAACTAAAGAAATTCCAATTATTTTTAATGAATTTGTCGTGGATTGAATACTGTCTGTTTGTGTCCTCGAACAAAATACTGTTTCTTTCGATCAAAACTTTCATTGGAGAAAAATTTTCAAAATTAATTTCCAAAATCACAGGAATTTGCTCTGATTCTTCATCATTTTGGTCGAAATAGATGTAACATATGAATGTGATGCCTTCTGTAACTGGAATTTGATGTTTCTTCTGGTTTTCTGTCAAATAATTTCCGAAATTTGGGGTTTTATTTGACTTAATAAGGTGTTTGAACATGAATTCATATATAAGATCCCTGTTTATACCATTGTTGTCTTGTTTCAAGTAACAAATCAGTTTTTGGACAAAAATTATTGAGCAATAGTTTCTGGAAATCATTTCTAAGATGTTTAATATCTCTGTTTGGTTCTGTGGAGTGATTAACTCAAGGATGTTGATGTCTAATTTGTAATCTTTCACTAAAATTTGGAAAATTTCATAATTATCATGCAAACTACTAAGAATTGGCTTTGCCCTGTCGAAGTTTCCGTCTTTAACTAGCTCAATAATTAGAAATGTTACATGAATGGCCGATTTCTGTGTTAAATTTTCCAAATTTGAATAATTCAAGTAAAAATCAATGAAATTATCAGATAATGGATGCAGATTTGATGATACTGTAGCCATTATTTGTGTAAAATCTGTTAAAATCTGTGTTTTTTCGATTAATTTCAAAATTTCTATTAAATATTTCTCCAAAAGTTGAGGATTTCTTATCAAGAAGTGGTTTTCTATCAGTGAAAGTACGAAATCATTGAACTTATCTGACGAAATGTGATCAACTTTTGAGATATTCAGATATGAAATCAAATCTATTAAAATTTCAATGGAATCTTCATCATGGATGTAAAATCTCTGCGACATAGAGAAGTTTAGAAGCACTGCACTGATGATATCAACGTTGTTTTGTTCTAATTGCAAAAACTTCTTCATTTGCTCCAAAACAAACTTCCTACATGGTTTTTCACATACAAAAGAGAAGAATGTCGATACAAAACTGAAATCTTTCCAAGATAATTTAATTATATCGACGTATTGAAGGGAAATTTCGATTAATTTAAAGAGAAGTAAACTGTTATTGTCTGTATCTTCATTTCCCTCTATTCATTTCAGCTGAAAATGTTTTGATAATCTGGAAAATAAGGAAATCAGCTCTGGAGACTCGTAACTCATTTTTACAATGATATTTATGTTCTTTATGAAGGTTCTGAGTACATTTTCAAACACAAAATTGTAGTTTATCGTTGAATTTAATAAAAATGAAATTGATGAGAAATTTTTTTCATCTAAGATGATATTTGTGCCATATCTGACCAATTTACCTATGTTGTCATCTCTTTTATCAGTTTGGAACACTACAGGATGAAATATAAAATCTAATAAACATTTTTTCGTTTTTCTGAGGGTGTAAAGTAGTAAAGCGTAAATTTCCCAAAAATTTCCTTTATCGGCTGCTTCCTCGAGCTTTCCAAACAATGTTGAAGTGAAGATATTTAAAAGATACGCGTTTGTACTCAAAATTGCATGAGCAAACATCTTGAAGTTTTCTCTTATGTCTGGACTGATGATTTTTGATGTAGAAATTTGTTGTTTTACGAATTCTGAATTCAAATCAAATTTTATTTTTGAAAAAGTGTCTGTTTTTATTGGTTCGTAGTTGACTGCGTGGTTTTGTGTCGAAATAGTTGGTTCTGTCAATGTATTTTTGCTGTATTCGACGTAAAAAGAAAAATCCGAATTTATTACTTTCAAAAACAGTTTTTGAACAAATTCTTTGATGATTTCACCTGATTTATTTTGGTTTAGATATGGATTTATCAGACAAAACAGAGAAATTGCTTCTTTTCGCAGATTAAACAACATTTTTTTGATTGAATTAACGAGAACCAGTGCTTCTTCTGATGTAATCTCATTGTTCATCACGTATCTGATCGCAAAATCAAGTAAAGTACTCTTTTCATACAAAGATATATAAGCAGGAAGCAGAGGAAATGATTGTTTCGTTGGCAATTGCTCAATATTGTAATATTCTTGCAAAAATATTTCGAATTGTTGGATGTTTTTGTGTTCTTCTTGATAAAAATAAAAAGAAAAAAGATATAAAACGATTTTCTTAATGATATCATGTGTTGAAAATGCAATCAATGATTTTAAAAAGATAAGTAAAGATTCTGTTTTTTCTTTATTATCTTCTAGTTCTTTCCAGTAAAGAAATGAATACAATAAATATGAAATGCAGAAGTCTATATCTGTTTGATTTGTATTTTTATGAACTATGAGTATTACTAAGTCATTGTTCTGGAAGTTAAAGTGAGATTCGTTAGTATCAGATTTCGGAAATGGATTATTTGAAAAAAAATCCTTTAATTCTGGATCAAGAGGTGATTTTTCAATCTGTTTAAGCTTGGCTATGACTTCGGGTGTTGGATCAGAAGAAATATCTCTGAGCAAATCATCCATTCAGTGGCCAATCAGATTTAAAATGATTTAAAGAAAATTAATTAATATACTACAAATGAGAAATTTATTTGGTTCGTGTTGATTGAATGTCGACTTTTAAAATGAAAATATGAAATGATTTATATAAATATATTAGATTTTCATTATTTTGGCATCTAGAACAAGAGGGCAAACTTCATGGTTCTTTAACCCAATATGATTTTTTGTTAATAAGAAACGAATATAAAAATTAATTGAAAGAATTTTTAGGGTGAACTTACGCCCATCCGATATTTATATCAAATTTCTTTCAATTGGCATGGTGTGCCATAGAAAATCAACTTTGAGCATCAGAATTGAAGGTTGTGCCATACAGGGATAAGTGCTTTATGTGAATATCAGTTTCATTTTCAAAATTAATATTGTTAATTGAAAACATTGAATCAAAGTTAATATTAATAAGACTTGCATGCTATTTGATGTTACATTTACCTTATCAAGTATTTCATAGTTATTAATTCTATGAAGATATTGTTATAACAATAAATATATAAATAGTTGTGACACTTTTTACGGGCTTATAAATAAGCCCGAAAAAGTATCAAGCAACTATTAATATATATATACTCACTTTTTAATCGTCGTCCTTCCTCTCAAAAAGTGACTAATATATTTTGAATATATATATAGTTATTTATTTTAAATAGATATTTTTAGTTATTATAAAATTATAGAGAATTTAAGTAGTCACGTGTTGCATCTTTAGCAACTGAGAGGGCGGTTTTACCCTTATTATTTGTTGCATCTTTATTAGCGCCATTTTGAATAAGATACTTGACGACCTCGAGTTTTCCTTCCTTTGCTGCATAAATGAGTGCCGTATTTCCATTTTTAGACTTTGCTTCTTTGTCAGCCTTTGAATTATTAAGATGTTGAACAACATTAAGATGTCCATTACGTGATGCAGAAATAAGAGCCGTATATCCATTGTTGGGAATGGTTGCTTCAATATTTGCTCCGGCAGAAAGAAGAAGTTTAACAGCTTCAAGTTGACCTTCCTTTGAAGCGAAAATAAGAGCATTAATTCCAGATTTCGTCGTTGCTTCTTTATCTTCTCCAGCGTCGATAAGATATTTAACAACTTTATTATATCCCTTTCGTGATGCATAAATAAGTGGAGTCCAGCCATCGCCGCTTGATGCTTCTCTGTCATTTGCAACAGATATAATATATTTGACTATTTCAAGATGACCATTAAGCGCTGCAACTGTCAGTGGAATTTCACCATTCTTATCTTTTTGTTCTCTATTAGCACCGGAAGCGATAAGATGTTTAACATTTTTGAGGTGACCATTTCTTGATGCAATAAGCAATGGTGTGTCTCCATTATTATCCTTTACTTCTTTGTTGGCTCCAAGAGAAATAAGTAGAATTAGCGCACCCTCATTTGAGTTTCGAGTTGCACAAATTATTGGGGTATCTCCACTTTTATTCTTGACTTCTTTGTTAGCACCAAGAGAAATAAGCTGACGTATAACTTCAAGATTAGAATTACGAGATGCGCATATGAGAGGGGTATCTCCATTTTTATCTTTTGCTTCAATATTGCATCCTTCAGAGATAAGATATTGAAGAACATCAAGATTGCATTGATGTGATGCATAAACCTGTGATTTATTACCTGATTCTTGGCAGAATGGATGTTGAACGACAGAAAGATTATCATTTCTTGAAGCCCAAAATAGTGGAGTTTCCTCATTGTTGTTCTTTGCTTCTTTATCAGCTCCTGCAGAGATGAGAACCTTGACAATGTCAAGGTGTCCTTGATAGGATGCCCAATGTAGTGCTGTTTCTCCATTGCTGTTCTTTGCTTTGAAATCAGCTTTAACTGAAACAAGATGTTTGACTACTTCTATATGGCCATTGCATGAAGCATACATGAGTGGTGTCCATCCATATTTATCCTTGGCTTCTTTATCAGCGACAATGGATGTAAAATATTGAACAATATTAAGATGTCCTTCATGTGATGCATAAATGAGTGGTGTCCATCCATCGTTATCTTTTTCGTTTTTGTTGGCACCAGCAGAAATAAGATGTTTCACGACCTTAATGTGGCCATTGCATGCTGCTGAAATGAGCGGAGTCCATCCTTTATTATTCTTTGCTCCCGTGTTTGCTCCAGCAGAAACAAGATATTTAACGATGTCAAGATGGCCTTGACTTGATGCGAGGATAAGTGGAGTAGATCCATTCTCTTCTTCATCCTTTTCTTCTTTATTGCAGCCACATTCAATGAGTGATTTAACAAGTTTGAAATTACCTCTTGCTGCAGCTTCATGAAGAATAGTTCTCTTCAAATTGTTTGTTTTTGTGCAAAGCCCAGCTTCGAAAGATTTAACCATCATATTTTGATAACCATTATCTGCAAGTTTGTCAAGGAATATGTAGATATGCTCGAAGTCGATTGAAACCTTGTATTGTGCAATCTTTGTAGGAATGTCCAGTGGATTGAACGAGCGTGGATTTAAGGCGCGGATATCATTTTGGCTATCATCTAATACTCTAATTAAGGCTTGGCAAAGAGATACACAGATATTTTTGTCGTTATCTGCATCAATTAATTCTTTTAGATGATAAAGTGTCAGTTTGATGCAAAATTCAAAATGAATCCCTTCATACAATGGATTGAAGATATTGCTGTCTTCAGTCAAGGAAATGACGAAATTGGCTAATGAGTCCTCGTCCTTAACTGAAATGAGATCGTTGCAAATAATCTGTTGGAGAATGCTAAGTCCAAGTTTCTTGGAAATTAATTTGAGCTTATCGAGATCAATTCCATAGAAGTTTGCTGATATGAAGTTAATACACTCTTTTAACTTGTCTTCATCTGAAATATCAAAGTAAAATTCAAGCAATTCAATACAATTGTTTTTGTCAATCACCATATTATTAATGACGTGGGCTTGATATAAATCAATTAAATCTTGGATTTGCAAATTGAGACCAACACGAAATAGATCCTTCAAGACAATTTCATTGCATTCCCATGATTTCTCATTAAATTGGAAAATATCATTTAATATTGGAAGTGTTTCTGATGATTTTAACTCTGTATTTGAATCAACACTTTGAAAAGTATTGTCACGCATGTAGTGTGAGCATATGACCTCTGAAAATGTTATTGCAAATGGTTTGCTGGATTCGATTTCCTGCATTTGGTTGTTCACTTTAATTGTTACTTTTATCTTTTCGCTTTTTTCATATTTGTTGATCCTCTTAAGATATGGATTGTTCAGTTCGATCTTAACCATTCTGAATATTGATGGAAAATTTGAAAAATTTTAAAAATTCAGATGTAATTGAAAAAAAAATTAAGTTAACTAAAATAAGAAATAAGATATTATAATAGCAAAAATTGCCGAATTAAATTCTTCAGAAAATTTGAGATGTGAATGGTATTTTGAATCTTCAATAAATCAAAAATAAAGCACATTTTTAGATTTTCTCGAACATTGGATTCGTATTTTTAAAATTTAAAAAAAATTGAAACACATTTAGAATTCAAATCATTTGAAGTTATATTGAAAAATATTAAATGAATACTTAAAAAAATTAAAGATAACTTGTCTGCTGGAAAAATTATCAAATGTTAAGATGATTTTAATGTTAGGATATTAACAAGTTCTCTAAAATGCTAATTCATCCACTTCTAATTTGCTGGCAAATTTACAGTTTTTCAATATCGAAATAGAAGTGTGTCTGATGTTTTATTTTGTGGAATTTTCGTTTTTTTATTAATAAATGATCTAACATTTAAATTGTATCCAGTAAAATTAATGATCAAACGTTCATTACTATCATTTCCTCTCAATTTTACTTTACAAAATTGCAAGCATTCAATTGTTTTCGGACGATGTAATGTAATAAACAGAAATTCATCAAAAGTGACAGCTCTCAATTTTTTGACATTTGTAAATTCTAAATTGAATGAGAAAAATGAAATAATACTAAGCATAATACAATATTCTAGATTTAATTATAATTAGGAAAAAGTTAGTTTTGAGAGTACTTTTCATAGGCATATAGAATGAAATCTTCTGAAAAATAATATCACATAAATTCATATTATTTTCTAATATATAACTATTTTATATAAAAATCAAATTCAATGATCTTAAAAGCGAAGGATAAACCTCAAAATTTACGAATATAATGAGTGGGAATATAATGCTTATCTATCATAAAACCATATGAAATATCAATTTTTGCTTTACGCCTAATTTTTGACGACAATTAGCAAAAAATGTTAAATGTTAACACTCAGTCCATTTGAATATGAAAAATAAAATTGACTTTGATTAAATGTTTTTATTTATCATGCAATTCTTCTTGCGACCAAAGATTTGAATAAAAGTTCAAAAAATAAGATAGCTTAAAAAATAATATACGGTAGTGTTTACTAATAGATGAATAGTAAGGAAGTCAATTTGGAAAATTGTTTTCACTTTAGGAGAATATAATTTTCCATTTGGAAAATTTAAAAAGTGAGACGCGCAGGATTCGAACTTTTTAAAAGTTGATTTAAATAAATTTTAGTGTGGAATATAAGGATAATATCATATTTAAAATAAGAATATACTAGTTTAAGTGGTATTAATTTTTTTCGATAAATTTGAGAGTATGTACGTTTAGGGCATGAAAAGTGTCAATTCGCTCAGCGAAAGCTGAGCTAGCTTCGTTCTCGAAAGAATAAGGAAGGAGTGAAGGAGAATGATACAGAAGTTGACACATTCATATCATTTCAACAAATTTTGATCAAATTGAAATTCAATAAAATTCAATTCAATTCATATCCTTCAGTCAGTACATTGATATCCTTCTGCATCACAATGATAACTCGGGCATCAATAGTTCTACAACTAACTCAGAAAAAACAAGATTATTACTTCCTGCTTACAGCTTTTAAAAAGTTTCGATGATAAAAATCACTCTACTCTCGTTTATCGACATATGGTGATAGTAGGTAAACATATTCTTATCGATATTAATAAAAATATTTGTACGAAAATCTTATCCAATTAGAGAGTTATTCATAAAGTATATGATAATTATAATTACTTTATCTTTGTTTTATCTTTGAATAAACAATTTAATTTAATTTAATTTGCATAATTTTTTTTAGTTGAAAAACAGGAAACTTATTTGAGTTTGTATTATTTTTATCGTTCAATTCATTGTATCAGTGAGTGATCCAGATATTTAAGATATTTAGAAAAAAAATTATTAATTTGATTAACAAATTTTAATCAAAATAGCAAAAATCTATTTGATAGCTGTAAACAAACAATAATTTTTATTTCAAGCAAAATCACTTATTTTCATCTAAACGTATAAAATTGTCAATTTTATGAAAATAAATTGAAAATCTCATGAAATGTAAAGGAGAGTAATATTTTTCAATTTTCTTTTTTTCTTTGTCTCAAATATTTTCTGTTGGGAATTTTCTTGTTATCAAAAAATAATTTTAATATTTGTTTATTTCATTACATACAATAAAATTTTAAAAACTCTATTTCTTCTCAAGAAAATTTTTTCCTTCATATGAAGAAACATTTTGTTCTCCATTTGATACTGAGTCTAAATCTCGATTTTTGAATTTTCTTCTTTCCAAATTTCTTTTTTCCAAATTAGAAGTTTAATTCAAATTTTCAATAGTTTATATATTTTCTCAAACCGTCTCAGATTTTCTCACTTTTTAGGGATTTTCTCTCAAAATATACAAAAATAGTAATATCAATACATGTGTCTAATATACTTTAAAACCATCGTGACAAAATTCAAAAACGAAGAGTTCTTCTCTCCAAATTTTTTTCAAAATCAAAAAAATGAGATAAAAAAGTACGTTTGGAAAATTCATTTTTAACATTTTAGGAATTTTCTCACTTTTCTTCCAAATTAGTGATGCGAAAAATTCCCAAACATATGGGGTTTCTCATATCCCGTCCCCTATCGTTTCCCCAATTCAATTTTTTTTGGAATTTTATTTTTTTTCCCGCCCATTTGAATTAAAAATGGGCGATTTTCGTTAATGTGATTGAAATATCATAAAATTAATACGTATTTTAGCTAATAATTCTATTTTTATACAATATTCTCTCATTAAATCAACATTTTTTTCTAATTTTAATTTTTAATTTTTAATTTCTTCATAATTTTAGCGATTTATGCTCATTATTAGCAAATAAATAATATATATAATATACTTATTTCATTTTATTCAGATAGGTCTTTGGGATTGGGATACCTTGTCCAAATTCAGAGGAAGTTTGAGAGGTTGGGATGGGGTAGCCCATATTCAATTATCCCAAGTGTACTCCACGAATTTAAAATTATATTATATTATTGATGACATATCTAAATTTATAGATAAAAATTTCAATGCGTACACAATTTTTTTTGAGAAAATTCTTTTTTTTTACTTATTTTCATTCATAAAAGCTCACGTGAACTTAATTAACAACTGAGACATTTCCTATGAAATCATTTAATGCCGTCAAAATAGACATGTCTAAGCTGTTTTGAGTGACTTTCGCTCGATGTCTGATGCAATATCAGACATCGAGCGAAAGTCTCTCATATTGGCAACACATCCATACGATCAATACTATAGCTACGAATTACAAGCCTGTTTGGGCAATTTTTGGCCGAGTTCTGATTTTTCATTAGATCTCGAGCGAAAGTCTCTCAAATTGGCTGCCAGTTCATAAGAGTGAAACTCTAGCTACGAATTAGAAGCTTGCTTGAGAGACTCTCGCTCGCGTTGGGATCTGCATCAGAACTCGAGCGAAAGCCTCTCAAAGTGGTAAGACCTGCTCATTGTTGAGCAGGAGCTGCGTAATGTGTTCGAGCAGAGTGAGGCTCTTCTAAGATCTTCCTTGTGATTGGAAGAAATTAGAAGAGTCTCACTCTACTATTTTGTAATTGTATGCCCTGGCCTTTGAGTGACCAGGGCTGCGTAATGTGTTCGAGTAGAGTGAGGCTCTTCTAGATCTTCCTTGTGATTGGAAGAAATTAGAAGAGTCTCACTCTACTATTTTGTAATTGTATGCCCTGGCCTTTGAGTGACCAGGGCTGCGTAATGTGTTCGAGCAGAGTGAGGCTCTTCTAAGATCTTCCTTGTGATTGGAAGAAATTAGAAGAGTCTCACTCTACTATTTTGTAATTGTATGCCCTGGCCTTTGAGTGACCAGGGCTGCGTAATGTGTTCGAGCAGAGTGAGGCTCTTCTAAGATCTTCCTTGTGATTGGAAGAAATTAGAAGAGTCTCACTCTACTATTTTGTAATTGTATGCCCTGGCCTTTGAGTGACCAGGGCTGCGTAATGTGTTCGAGTAGAGTGAGGCTCTTCTAAGATCTTCCTTGTGATTGGAAGAAATTAGAAGAGTCTCACTCTACTATTTTGTAATTGTATGCCCTGGCCTTTGAGTGACCAGGGCTGCGTAATGTGTTCGAGCAGAGTGAGGCTCTTCTAAGATCTTCCTTGTGATTGGAAGAAATTAGAAGAGTCTCACTCTACTATTTTGTAATTGTATGCCCCGGCCTTTGAGTGACCAGGGCTGCGTAATGAATTCGAGTAGGATTGTACAATAGCTCGGCAAACGCCGAGCAAATTGATATAAACGTACATCCCACAAAAAATGGATTGTCAAAATTTATCCCAAATTTTACAAAACCGCAGCGGTTATGACATCCCAGGGCTAAAAAAATTCGGAAACTCGCATCTCTATTCCAAATTAACATCCTTATGAATAGTATATAAATTCTATTAAAATGGATTTGATCCAAAAAAATATATAAAATTTGATCATAAATAAAATCGTTTTAAATTACTTCTTCATTTAAATGATAACAATTATTTTTGGTTTTATATTTTTTTGGATCAAATCCATTTTAATAGAATTTATATACTATTCATCTATTAGTAAACACTACCGTATATTATTTTTTAAGCTATCTTATTTTTTGAACTTTTATTCAAATCTTTGGTCGCAAGAAGAATTGCATGATAAATAAAAACATTTAATCAAAGTCAATTTTATTTTTCATATTCAAATGGACTGAGTGTTAACATTTAACATTTTTTGCTAATTGTCGTCAAAAATTAGGCGTAAAGCAAAAATTGATATTTCATATGGTTTTATGATAGATAAGCATTATATTCCCACTCATTATATTCGTAAATTTTGAGGTTTATCCTTCGCTTTTAAGATCATTGAATTTGATTTTTATATAAAATAGTTATATATTAGAAAATAATATGAGTTTATGTGATATTATTTTTCAGAAGATTTTGTGTTCTTCTTCAAAATTTTATTTTTTTATTCAAAAGAATCTTTACAAAATATACATTTACTTTAATTAATATTTAAAAACGTGCTCTATCAAAAGTTCCAAAAATTCAATATTTTAGCTTTTCTGAGGTGTCACTTTTGATGAATTTCTGTTTACAACAGTAAATTTTAATAAAAACATTATAATGCATCTATTTTTTTTCTAAAATTTTGACAATTTTTTCACAAAATTTATTTCCGGATCCTGGGAAGTCATCTTCCCAGGATCGACCTGTGATGAAGAATACAATAACGAGAAATCCGAGTTTTCAAGAGATACGAACTTAAAGTACTTCATTTCAAGTTGTTTTTTTCAAGGGTTAAGTCCAAATGGCGCAATTCGAATTAATACTACAAGTGATTATACTAAAGCATATGCTAAAGCGAATAAGTTCGATTCATGTTCCTCTGAATCTCAAGATGGAGGTTCTCTCTACTTTAACGACAAAGGCGAATTTGTTCAAGCAAAAAATTCATACATCAACTCAACAGCCAGGGGTGGCCTGGCATTTATAGCATGTGTTTCATTGCAACCTAATTACAAAAATCATGCTAATGAAACTACAGTTTACAACTGCGGAAGTTCAGAACAAGACTGCAGATGTTTAACTACCATGGTGTATGGTTTTTGTATCATGAATAAATGCAACATTACACAAAATAGAGTTGCAAAAGATGTTGGAGGTTATTTAGTTGGAGATATTACCTCTGATTCATACATCACTTGTGTCAATGTTGTTGAAAACAATCAATCATCAGGTAATTTTAATATCCACACAACTCGTTATGATTATTCATCAATATTTAAAGTTACTTCATGTAATTATTTAAGAAATAAAAGTCCAAATGAAGGTTATCTGATTACTTCTTATTCTAATGTTTTCATGAATTATTGTTGTATTCGTCAAAATGAAATTAAATACATTTTTAAGGCATCTCCAACAATAACATTTGAAAACTCAACTACAGATAGCATGAACTCAACATTTACACCACCAACATTTAAGAACACAGATATTCCATTTGAAATTTCGTGTCCATTATTAAACTCCATTCCAACCAAATTTAAATTTAAAATCAACCAAAAAGAAAATGATGAAGAAAATAATAATTTCATTAAGATCTATTTTAAAATAATCTTGAAATTAAAATATTTAATTTCTCTTCCATCTTCAATTTTATAAACTATAGAATTCTACGGTAATTACTACATCTGACATTTTTGGTTTACATATCTGCACTCATTTAGACATTTGAATATTCTCCCATTTTCATTGAGAATAGGACATGTAAAACCTCTGAAATTTAATGTTTTCAATTTTCTGTCTAAATTATCTCATATTTCGATTTACGAGTAATTTGGGGCTTAAAAAGTATATAAAATTGAAATTATCTTGATAATGATTATTTTTTCGTTAATGCCGATCAACATTTAAATCAAAAAAAAAATAAATAATCGTAGTTTTTTCAAAAAGAAAAGAGATAATATCATGTTGGTGTAAGTAAAAAATATCCATTTATAAAAAAAATACAAACATAATTTTAATAAAATCTAAATAAAATGATCTTCTTTGATTTCCAATGGGATAAGTTCTAGTGTGCATTTCTTCAGGATTGTTATCACAACTCTGTTAAAAACAGAGAAGTGAATTGAAGAAATTTCACTTGCGCAGCGAATGAAATAGTTGTCTATATCAAGAAGGAAAGCGTCGAAACAATAGAGATCTCCTCTCTTGTTAGCAAATATCACGTAGTCAATTCCTTTCTCACTACTAAAAGATTCCCAGCAAAAGATATCAACAGAAATCTGTTTCTTTTTAATGAAAAATCCATTGACATTGTGCAGATAAACAAAATGATTTGTTCCTTCAACAGCATATGTAACAATGTAGCCCATCGAAGGAGTAATCGTAATAAGCAATGGCCTGACTTCTCCTAAATAAACAGAGTTGATTTTTCTGCCCTCAAAAAGTGAACAAATAATCAACCGACCACTTTTCGTTCCTGCAACGAAATTCTTGAATGAAACTGAAGAACAAAGACATGTCACGTCTTCTCCGTAGAAAGGAATAGTTGTTCTTGTATTGTTCTTGTGATTATACACTTCAACATTTGTGTTAATTGAAGCGACAACGAATTCTCCGCTAAAACAAATTTTGTTTTTCGAAACATTTTGGAAAATTTTTGTTTTCGATAAAAACAAACAATCATCTGACAAAATAAACATCTTTTCTTCTGATTTGAACAGAGAAGCAGCTGTTGTATTAGCCAATATTGTCTTCTTATTGGTAACAACATTCTTTTCTTTGAGATCTAATGTAAATCTCTCAATATTGTTGTTAATTCGAGCAAAAACTAAAATTTGACCTTCATCTTCAATGATTTGGGAACAGAACAATTCTCCTTCTCCTATAACTTCGATGTAATTATCTCTGACTGGTTTGAACTTCGTAAGTTTTTTGACTGGATGATTTTCAAAAAACAGTTGAGGGGGAACTTGGCCGACGTGGTTCAAGTTTGCTTTGATTTGTTTGATGGTGAAACTATCTGTGATGTTTGTGTCCCAAATTTCACCATATATTTCTTGGATGTAAGTATTATGATTTAATTCAGCGTTTTTTCCACGAGAATTAACTCCCCAAATCAAATCAATCCATTTGTTTATGTTCTCTGATACGTAATCAGATTCCAATGCCTTCCTCATCTTATAAATAAACTCATTCGGATCATTATGGCTCCAAGGAGGTAATAAAACATCATTAACATTGTTTCCATTCGCTTGTCCCAAATCAAAATGGTTCATATTCGTCAGAAATTCACTTGAAAAGTAAAATTCTGGTATTAATTCTCTATAATCGTTCAACAAAGTTGTTATAAGTTTATAAGCTTCGTACAATGAGTTGAACAATCTTGCTGCATGGTCAAACCTTCCTCCCTGCAAATCTACATGAAGTTTCGTGAATGGCTCAAGTCGAATCAGCCACAAAAAGACACTTAATGGGCAAACAGCGTAAGAAGAGTACATGTAAGCGGGTTGTCCAAAGGATTTCATGTCTTCTACTTTCTGGAGGATCTCTTGTAGTCTTTGTTCGGTTAATGCGCCAACAGTTTTCGATAAATCTCTAAAAACATTTTTGTCATGTAAATCTAATTTTTCTGACACGTAATCAGAAAGAATCCATGGGAAAACAGGGTAAATAGAAGGATCATTAAACGATCTAGAACTTAAGGAATTAAGCTGCATCAAATAATCGAAATTAGACATCTTGTTTTCAACCCATTTTTTGGTGAAAAGTGACAAATCATGATTGACATTTTTTGACATTTGTTTTGTAATGAAATTAACAACATAACTAGGATCTGTAAAGATATCAATAAAGTATGGTTTTCCATCATTCAAGATTAGCTCAAATGCAGTCTGTTTTTGTATAACTAACCTTAAACATACGTTATTAATTTCAGAATAAAAAATTTCTTTTGTTTGACCATTTTTCTCTTTTGTCAATGTCAATGAATGTTTATAGAGAACTAAGACAGCCTTGACATTTTCTGTGACCTTTCGGATTTGGCAATCAGAGACGAATATTTGGCTTTGAGACTGATTTATTTCATTGTCCAAAGAATTGTCGAAATCATCAACAACTTTCTTGAAAATGTCTAAATCTTTTTCTTTGTTTTGTGCTCTGTAGTTCAAAAGCATTTGTTCGGCAGATTTAAATGATCCTGTGTCTCTCGCGAATGATGCAAACAAATGGTCATCAAAGTGTTTGTTTCTCTTCAATTTCATAGGACACAAATTTTGACAAATGTGAGGTGATCTCATCCATTTAATTTCTTCAGAACTATTTGAGCAAATGAACCAAGGAGAACCGATAGTTGTTAAGTTCTGCCAAAGTTTGTGCCATGACCTTTCACATTTAGAAATATTACTATCATTTTTCATGTTTTTCCTCAAATAAATTTGGAAATCAACCAAATTACTGTTGATTATTTCTCTGCATTTCTTAAACGAATTCATCGAACACTGTTTTATCTTAGAATGGCATTCATTGACATTAATAACAGTTATATTAGAATATTCATTCAATACGTTTTGTATTGATTTGTTGAAATCTTCAAACAAGCTGGAATTTTGTTTGACATTAGAAAGGAAACTTTTGTATTTCAACAATCGATGAGAAAACATATTCAAGTAGATTAAATTACTCTCTGATTCGAACATGAATGATTTAAACCATTCAATTGATTCATTAAAATTAGTAGTAATCAAAAAAGCTGCAGTAATAATTCCTAAATTATAAAATGTCTTAATGTTATATTTCTTAATTAAACCAAGAAATAACAAAGCAACTTCTGAATCTTTCCATTCATTTCCAATAGACGTTTGAAGGCCAAAACAAATAAAATTATCAAATGTCAGATTTGAATCAACGGTTTTGTCAAATTCTGGCATATATCCACCTAATGCTGCCCATGTAGAATTAACAGGATTATACTCAACGTTGTTCGTTTTCTCAAAAAGTGACAACTTTTTAAAAGGTGACGCTTCAAAATCTGATTTCAATATTTGATTGTAAAAATTAAATTTCTTGAAAAATAAATAATAAACAATCAAATTCATTGTCGAAATAATATCTTCAATATTTGAAAAATCAGATAATAAAATGTAATTAGAAACTACAATAAGAAACCGCTTTTTGTAAACCTCTGAATTTATGTCATTTGCTTGACAAACAATTTCTATTGTTTCATAAATTTTTCTCCATTCAGAACTCGAGCAAAAACAAAGAAAAGAGAAAATTGCGGCTGTTTCGTGTAAATCTTGGCATTTAACTGCAGTTATTATAGCATTTAGACACCAATTATATGATGTAATAAATTGAGAAGAAGGTGTCACTTTTTGGAAGTATTGAATTTGATTTGATTTTTGTACAAAATAAGAAAACAAAGGGAACAATTCGGGAAACTCTTTTGTCATCAACTCAACAATATCTGACAGCATAATTTCTGATATTTTCGTTTCACATGATGAGAAATGTCTTATTAACAAATTTACATGGTCATTTAATGTCAAATTTTCATCTGGAATTTTTTTGTAAAATTTACAAATAATTGTAATTAAAAAGTAATAATTCGAATCTGTGAAAGAGTTGATACAATGGTAGATATTGTTAAATGTGAACCAGATGTCCTTTGGATTGAGTTTTTCCAAATTATTCTGCGAATTTTGCAAAATTTTCATAAAAAGATTCGAAATTTCGACTTTTTGCGAATCAACAAAAATTCCGAAACAAGAAACTAATAAATTAAAATCTTTCTGAGTGAAAACAATCTGTGACATATTAAAGCAAAGCTGCAATATCTTGGATCTTATTGTTTTGGCATTCGTTGTAAACAAAAGTGACAAATAATCGCTAAATGTTGTAAACTTCTCAAAATAAATTGTATTTTGTAAAAATGATTTTGACAGAATGTGATCTAATATCAAATTTTGGACTTCTTCAGATTTAAACAAGTCAAAATTGGTTAAAAACAAAACAAAGATCTGTTTTTTTGCTTCTTCGTCTTCTAAAACTAAAAACAAGTTATAAAACATCAAATATAAATCAAAATTAAGATTTTTCGGATCAGAATTCATCAGCAAATATTTGATAACAAAGAAACCATTCGATTTAGCAAATTTGTTTTGACTTTCCTTGTTAACTAAAAACATAATCCTAAATAATTCAAAAACAGTTTCTAATAAATTGGCGGTTTTGTCACCTTTTGTATTTTTGACATCCAAAAACGCAAATAAAGGAAGAAGAACTTCAACATCATAAAAAGTGAAGAAAACATCTGAAAAATTCTGTTGATTTTGCGGTTTTGACACAGTGATAGAATAATAAGAATCAAAATTATTTTTTGGACCCATTCCGAACAATTTTGGACAAGGAAATTCTTGGTTTTGGGAGATATGAATGTTTCCCATTCTGATTTTAGATTTCGAAGTTCCTCCAATTGTTAGTTCTTTTCCGTTTACAATTTCACTTTTAATATCAAATTTTTGCACCAAAATATTGTTGTCAAATTGTATATTGACAAAGTTTTTTTCGACGAAAATTGCTAAAAATGACCATTTTTCTGTTTCCAAATCGATTTGAATCTGTTCATTATTTATTGTGAAACCATTTTTAGAAATCAAAATTTGCAAACTGTTTTTATCATCTTGTGTTATTTTGATTAGTTTGGACAAGTCATTTGTATCTGATAAATAAATCCATGAACTGAAAAGAAGTCCGTTTTTGGAGTCAAATTTTTTGTCTTTTTCTTGGAGAGGAATTGAATTTACATCGGAAAGAGAAAGAGATTCAAGTGGCGACATTAGCTCGTCTTGGAATATTTTGAGTAGTTTCTTAATGAAAACTAAATGAAACTCACTCAAAATGAACTGATTCTTGTATATTTTCGGTGAAATTAAATCAATAATTGACTGAACAACTTTTGGACTCGAAATAAATGAAACAATTTTCAACAGAATATGGAACAACTTCTCTATCTTTTCCAATCTCTTTCCTTCATCTAATGAAATAGTTTTAATATCATTAATTAAATCATCTTTAGCTTCACTATTGTTGTTTTCTGCTTGATTTTCTTCTCTAATTCTAGATGTTTGAACATTTTCAGATTCATTATTTCCATCATTTTTCTCATTATTAATATGATTTTCTTCATTATTCTTTTGTTTATCTTCATTTATATTTTTAGTTTCATCATTTTTAATTTCTTGATTTTCTTCCTTTTTCTCATTATTAATCATATTTTCTTCTTTACTCTTTTGTTCAATTTCATTTTTATCTTTGTCTCCATTATTTTTATCTTCTTCTTGATTCTTTTGTATTTCATTATTTTTATCTTTAGTTAAATCAATTATATATTTGCTGTTGTTGTAGTTTTCATCACGAAGTTTCTTTATGTCATTCAAAATAAGTAAATCAAAGTCACTTTCTCTCATTTTTTCCAAATTTTGAATCTGAAAATCACATAAATTTTCAACAAAATTCAAAACATCAATCAGATCTGATTCTTTGTATAAAGTATAAATAATGTTAAGTGCGTAAACATGAGAAATAGGAACTCTCGACAGAATTATATCAGTTCTAAATCCATACAACAAAGAAATCAAAGAAAACAAAATATCTTTGTCGTGATTTTTGATTTTGAACAAAGGAATTTCGAGATTTCGAATTGTCTTATAATCAGCATTGATCCTTATAAAGAAATCAATTGTTTTGTGTATAAATTCAACTGTGTCTTCTTCTGGATTCCAAATTTTCAACAAATTTATGATTTCTGTCACTAAATTCGAAAATATTTCAACTTCTCTTTCATTATTAATGTATTCAAGCAGGTCATTCATCATATTGAACTTTCCTTTGCTGGATACCTTTAAATTAGTAACAATTATCGAGTTGATGTGTGAAATAATTATGTCACTTTTTGTAATATTTCCTTTCAACATTTTTAAGACTAATTTCCTTGTATTATCATAAGAAATGAACATGATTAAGAAGCTTACGATGATTGCATCATTTACAATGAGTTCCGCAAATTTTTGGGACTTAAATAATTCTCTTATTAATAATAACAAAGATTTTCTTGCTGTTTGTATCTGATGTAAGTTTTTATCGTCTGTTGATTGATTGAGAAGTTGTATTACGAATTCTCTGATCATTCTGATGAATTTTATTTGATCATCTTCTTTTGGAACAGAATCAATCACGTTGAAGCTTAAAAGATAGCAGATTTCGCAAAATATCTCTGGATAAATGATCCATTTGCGGCAAATATCTGTCAAACATACAGATGGATTCTGAAATAAAGTATTAAATGTTAAATAGCGTAATGATAGTAACTTCTGCTGTTTCTCTTTTGTACTCTGCTTAAGTGTAGCGTAAGTTGGTGAAAATATGTTATCAAAGAAGATTGGAATTTGATTTAAGATGTTAAAGTTAAAGAAAACTAAAGTTAAATCGAATAAATACTGATCTGAGATTAAGCATATCTTTTTACCTAATGATGTTAAAAAATCTTCTACATTTGTATCTTTCTGTTGAAATTTTAGAACAAAATCTTCGCAAATTGTCTTAATTTGATCTGAATATAAGACTCTTGTATCTATGGAAGGAAAGTCCCATGATTCTGCATCATCATTGTTGTCAATTAAAGAATCTGAAATTTCATAAGATGATTGTTTTGAAGATGTAACATTTAAGATGGTAAAAGAAGTATCTTTGTCGAAATCTAAGACTATTGATGAAGACGTAACTGCATTTATCAATTCATCAACATTCATTCGAATAAAACCACTAATTTTTGAAATGAAAAATATTCTTAATAAAGAGGATTTAAATCAATTCCTTAATAGTTTATTATGAAATTACAAATTTACTTGAGTCATATTTTTCAAATTAGGGTTATTACTAGCATTATCCAAGTGTATGGTTAAGCCTATATATGTTGTGTATCTTTAGTTAATCGTTGATCGATATTGATAATATTAGCAAAACCTCAATCACACAGACTAATAAAGGAATATTCTTAGAAAGTATTATTGCTAATAATGATGAGTAATGCAATTTCACAAAACAAAAATGCAAAAAAAGAATAAATGAAAACGAAATGACTATAAATGTTTAAAATGCTTAATTAATGAAGTAGCGCATACATAAATTTGATGATATTGACAATACGATCATTTAAATCATGCATATATTATATTTTCAAGCAAATCTATTTAGCAATAGATGATTTTAAACGAGGATATATAAATCTGATACATTTTCTATGTAATTTGTTTGTTGTTCATATGGATAATCTTATTATTGGTCCCTCAATCATAATGATCAAAATTGAATTTGATGAATTTAGAGGAATTTTATCGAAAAAATGAAATAAATTTAGAAGAATTGCCTTTGTAAGGTCAAGCATTTGACGTTTTTTATGTCTGTGATTGTCTATCTTCTATTTTTGTAGAGCGGTAAAAAAATTTTGTCAAAAATAAACCATTACATACGATTGTAAAGTTATCAATTTCCGATCACAACCCCTCAATCTGATCGTGATAGAAATTTTTTCATAAATAAACTCTATGAAAAATTTCGATTTCACTTCATTTATAAATAATGAGTGCACAACCAAACACATCTGTCCAGTCATTATACGATATTATCGGTGTTCCTCCAACAGCAACACAGGATGAGATCAAGCATGCTTACAGAAAGAAAGCTATGCAATTACATCCAGATAGAAACCAAGATGATCCAAATGCAACTGAGAAATTCCAACAGCTTTCAGAAGCCTACGAAATTCTTAAGGATCCAGCTAAACGTGAAAGATACGATAAATTCGGAAGTGGTGAAGAGGTTCCACAGACACCAGAAGATATTGAACTGTTTGAAGTCATGACACAGATTCTCGGCCTTGGAAGAAGTAGAGCCGCTCCAAAGGGAGACAAAGTTTCACCGTCAATCAGATTAATCCGTGTTCCACTTTCAAAGATTTACACAGGCGGCAAATTCACAACCAAAATCGAATACCACCAAGTTTGCCCATTCTGCCACGGATTTGGATCAACAGACGGAAAAGAATATCCAGTCTGCCCAGAATGCAATGGCGCTGGCTCCAAATCACCAGGTGGTTTACAATTCATGTTCCCATGTGAACATTGCAAGAATGTTGGTTACATGATCCCACCAGAAGTCAGATGTCATCATTGCCATGGCCACAAATTGATAAACAGCAAGAAAGAAATTACCATCGATATCGAACCAGGTATCCCTAATGAAGAGAAGATCATCTTAGAAAATATGGGTGATGAATATCCAGGAAAGATTTCTGCTGATCTTATTCTCATTATCTCTCAGAAGTGTCCGAAGAAGTTTGTCAGAGATGGAGATGACTTATACTACACACATACATGCTCAATCGTTGAACAAAAGTTCGGAACAGCCTTTACAATCGATACTCCAGATGGCAGAGAACTCCAGGTTTGTACAGAAGAAGGAAAACCAATTGATTTCTCAAAGTTGAAGTATATAAAGAACGAAGGTATGCCATGCCGTGGAAATACACAGTTCAAAGGAAACTTATATATCATTTTCCAGCGTGGCTTCCCTGGACCAATTCATGAAGGTCTCAGAACAGTCAGAAACATATTCAACAGGTTAGTAGGAGCAAAGCAGAAACTTGAAGATGCCCCTCAAGAAAAACAAGAAGAGTTCGAGAAATTGCTTAGGCAGCAGCAAGAAGAATTCGAAGAACTGTTAAGACAATATGAACAACAAGAAGCTGCTAAGAAGCAAAATTAATTTATAACGTATAAATTGTATCTTTGTTGTTTAATCATATAAGTAAATGATACTGATGTTTAAATTGCAATTTCACTTGTAAAAAAATTTTTGATAACTCTCAATGGATTAATCTGTTGCTTTTTTGGGGAAAATTGAGGGAAATTTTTGAGAATAAGTGTAAAATGGAAGGAGGAAATTAGCGGTTCTCATAATATATTGATATGATGAAGTTTAGCAATTTTATTTTTTGAAGATATTCAGAAAAAAATGTTTTCAAAAAATAAATAATTGTGAAGTACTTTTGACAATGTTAATAAAATATAATCTAATCTATGTTGAAGATTATAATAGTACAATATAAATATAGGTATTTTTGGAGCAAATTTAATTTTTAAAAAATCTTGATGCATTAATGAGGATGTGGTGTTGTGTATAAGAAATTCTAAAAATCTGATAAGAAGTCCAGTTTTTTGAAATAATCTAATCAGATTGGCAGGGGAAAGATACATTCTATAAAAATTAATGAGTATAATATAGAGTATTATTGATTAGATAAAAGATGGTATTATACTAGGTTTGAAAAAAGAATGTAAAAGCTTTGAGAGGATGTTAAACGATAAAATAATCCAAAATTTGAGAATAAAAAAATATAAAATATGTGGAAAATGACTGAGTAATGGAGAAAATATCTGTATATTAGATAGGGAAGCGGTTAGCAAAAAATCAATATTCAAAAAATAATCATTTGCTTCTCAAATTTTTTTCAACAGAATCATCATCATGAACTTTATAAAAAAGATTAATTATCTCAATAAATAATGCATGATTACAACTACCCCGTAATGTTGATAACCATTGAAATAAATGCACATTAAACAAACGTGATGGTATATTGCGCTTATTAATAATATTTAAAAAATGAATATGATGTGATTTTTTATTTATTGAAAGGCCGATATAAAAGCTCAAACCGTTCGACTAGCTTAAAATTTGAAAAAGTTTCACAAAAAATAATCAAGGATTTTGACATAAGCTTGGTTTTAATAATAAACTAAGATTTTAAAAGATAGATGTTTATTTTTTCTGAATGATTCAATTTTTAATTTTATTATATGCATCCTACTCGTCGTCTCTCTGCAGATCTTTTCCTTAAAGACCTTTTTGATGAAGCAATTAGTGAAACAGGTACATGGTCATCCACAACCATACATTATCTTATGACAAACCAAAATCGGTTTACTGAATCAGATTTGAGCTACATAGTTGACCAAGGATTCCAATTAGTAATTGACCCAGAATCATCAATGAGAACAAAATTCAAAATTGCACAGCTTTTTAGCCAACTTTATCACATGCATTTCCCTCAATTTAATAACAAATTTATCCAATACATAGATCCAATAAAGGACTATATTTGCATCCCACAGAGCTCCTACCTTTGGCAGCCCATGGCAAACCTTATGTCTTCAATAATTGTTAGTATGCCGCTTAATTCTTTGAATACACAGCGCTAAGTTTATTTCATTGTTTGTATTTATTATAGTATGCTTGTTTATATTTTTGTATTTTTAGTGTAAAATTATTGTTATTCATGTTAAGGGTCCACTGTAAAAATTGAAAGTCTCTCAAAATTGAGAGGCGATTTGCAAATAATCGTTATCGTCTTTTTTCGAAAATCCACTTTTCCTAGTGTTCTGATTAATATTTTGTGAATGTAACAATAAAGTATATGTTTTAGTAAGATGATAATACATTCTATCACTTCAAATCACATAAAAATTGCAAAATCAGCGAGTTTTATAAGAACATGATTTTTTCGAGAAAGGGACAGACTAGCCCATTGTCACTTTTTAATTTAGCAAATGAACGCTTATGGAGTGGAGTTTTTGGGTAAATCTGATTTGCTTATAAATGAAATAAAATTAAAAGAAACCATATTGGCATTATATTATGCAAAAATAAATAATCTTACTTAGTACTTTTAAAGTTAATTTCAGAAAAAATTTGACACAATGGTATCCGGCACATACAAGTGGTGTACAACCAAAATATAAGTTGGTTTAAACATATATTGCTATATCTCATGATCTTACTTAGTACTTTTAAAGTTAATTTCAGAAAAAATTTGACACAATGGTATCCGGCACATACAAGTGGTGTACAACCAAAATATAAGTTGGTTTAAACATATATTGCTATATCTCATGATCTTACTTAGTACTTTTAAAGTTAATTTCAGAAAAAATTTGACACAATGGTATCCGGCACATACAAGTGGTGTACAACCAAAATATAAGTTGGTTTAAACATATATTGCTATATCTCATGATCTTACTTAGTACTTTTAAAGTTAATTTCAGAAAAAATTTGACACAATGGTATCCGGCACATACAAGTGGTGTACAACCAAAATATAAGTTGGTTTAAACATATATTGCTATATCTCATGATCTTACTTAGTACTTTTAAAGTTAATTTCAGAAAAAATTTGACACAATGGTATCCGGCACATACAAGTGGTGTACAACCAAAATATAAGTTGGTTTAAACATATATTGCTATATCTCATGATCTTACTTAGTACTTTTAAAGTTAATTTCAGAAAAAATTTGACACAATGGTATCCGGCACATACAAGTGGTGTACAACCAAAATTTCATATCCCTAGTTTTACATTTATGTTTAGTTTTATTTCACCTAATTTTCAAAGATCATAATTGAATTAGATGGCCAAGCTATTCAAAACACGACCAAGCTTATCAAAATAAGACCAATATATTCAAAATTCTTTATTCTTTCAAATCATTTCATTTTAATGCAGATCCAAGATCACGAACTCACATATATCGAGTTGCTTAAGTATGGAGTGCAACAAGAAATCCAAGCAGGTTGTAGTTATTCATATAAAACTAGGAAAGAAAGAAATCAAATCCAATTTAATTGTAAGTGGCCGAATTGTCCATGTCGCTTCCTTGTTGATACACTTCCCGATGACAAGTACCACATACGAAAATGTATTAACACCCACAATCATTCTGCCCCTTTTCCAAACAAATCACAACAAATTACATCATATTTTTATAGATCTTATTTAACAAGATATTTTGAATCAAATCAAGACCGTGTTTACGCACAATTAAGGTGTTTCAAAGATCTTAATATCCCATTTGATAGTGGGATCATTCCGGAAATGTTTCAACAATCTACAGATGCTTTAAAAAAGTTTTCTAAACGCCTTCATGCAATCAATACCCGTTTCTCAGCGGATGATGTTACATCTCTTGCAATTTTTGTCGACATGGTTAAGAGTCATTCTCCGGATGATCTCATCGAGTTTATTCACGAGCCAGATCGTATGATTTTCTATTACGCCCCATTCGAAGCAAATGCTTTTTCACATCAAATACAAACTTATCACATTGATTCCACTTATAAGCTCTTGCGCTCTCGCATACCATTTTATGCCGTCACTGGCAAATTCGCGGAATCAATTGTTTTTCCGTTTTTGTATTTTTTCGTTTGGCCCGACACAAGTGAAAATATACAAGTTTGTCTCACAGCATATTTTGGCTCCATCAATCGCGAACCATCTTATTTTTCAATGGACTGCGCACCTCAAATCACAAATGCTGTTGAAACAGCCATCCCCTTATGCCAGATCATTTGGTGTGGCGTTCATGTGTTGCGCGCTGTCATGAGAAAGGCTGAAAAGTTTCAAGATCGTTCCAACTTCGAAACTTTCTATAACTTAATGAAGTTATTGGTCTTTGGTTCTGAAGAGGAAGAAATTGATCCTGATGAAGTTTACAACAATTTAGAAGAAATTTTAAATGAGGAACCTGCTGCCCGTGAATACTTTGACCGACAGTGGCGCCATCATCTTGACAGGTGGATGCTTCGCTATAGAAATGAAGGAGATGGAACAAACAACATCTCGGAATTACATTTCAAGGTTTTGAAGCACCAGTACTTCCCAGAAAGGCGAAATCTTCGACTCGATGAACTTGTCATCGAGTTATATTCCAGTGTTGTTCCTTCATTCCTGATTAAGTTGCAAATTAAAGGTCTGGATTCAGAGAGAAGTGTTAAAGTTATCAAAAATGTCACAAGAGATTTCGAAGAAATGACACAATTTAAAAAAGTCGAATGCATCAGTATGCTTGAAGCTGTTCAGAAAGGTCTGAAAAATGATACACTTGATCCCAACATTGTTTACTCAACATTAAAAATATTATTGCAAAGAAAACATTTGATTTAATAAACATTTAATTTATTATAATTAATTTTTTATTACAGTATAGTAAAAAATGCTATAAATAAATTATTATATTTTATTAAAAAAAAAAAAAAAAAAAAAAAAAAAAAAAAAAAAAAAAAAAAAAAAAAAAAAAAAAAAAAAAAAAAAAAAAAAAAAAAAAAAAAAAAAAAGGGAGTGGGGCTTCCAGGCACTTCGTGCCTTCTAGCCCTGAGGATGAATGAGTATAATGAAGTTTTTTTTTCTTGGGGGATGGCTTCCAGGCACTTCGTGCCTTCTAGCCCCCGAAGATGTTTAGTATAAATGAAGTTTTTATTCGGAGGTCTTCCAGGAGCTTTTCACAAAATATAAATGTTTTCATGTTTTGTCAAGACTTCTTCGTAAATGTTTTGTCAAGACTTCTTCGTAAATGTTTTGTCAAGACTTCATCGTAATGAGCGTAAATGACCCAAAAATATAATTTAGGTGAAGAGGTGAGATGTCACCTCTTTTCTAACATGTTTTCTAACATCGTGAATTTTCATGAAATTTACACCAAAAATAATGTTTATGTTAGAATGTTAGATCTAACACCTTTTCTAACATGTTTTCTAACATCGTGAATTTTCATGAAATTTACACCAAAATATACTACTAGGGCATTTACGAAGAAATCTCAACAAAGTCTTTACGATGAAATCTTAACAAAACATAGACAAGAAAGTTCATGAGAAATTAGATGAAGAATCTTAACAAAGTCTTTACGAAGAAATTCATGAGTTTTCTACGATGTTAGAAAACATGTTAGAAAAGGTGTTAGATCTAACATTCTAACATAAACATTATTTTTTGGTCATTTACACTCATTTACGAAGAAATCTCAACAAAGTCTTTACGAAGAAGTCACAATAAACATCTGTCAAAAACCGCTTTTTAACTTCACTTAAAATGCCACGTAAGCTACGTAAGAATATACGTAAGAGGAAGAGAGCATTGAAACATCCAATAGTAAAACTGACACCAACAACAGTTGCAAAACAAATGCTGAATGACCCCACTATTTGCAACAAATGTCAAGCAATCCTATGCTTTTAAACCGAGTTGTTGGTGCACAGAGTGGAGGTTTAAGAGCGGCACTTTTAGCGAAAATGGCAGGCTATGGTGGAGCTGCAGACGGAACAGCATATAACCCTCAAAGTCAAATGAATTTGAGTTCACTCAAAAATCAAATAGCAGATGTCAAAAAGTCAAACATAGACATACAGAAGCAAATAAGTGAAAACGAAAAGAAAACTAGAATATGACAGACACACAAAGAAACTCAATGAGTTAAACGTAGAGAAAAAGAAGAAAGAAGAACAACTGAAAGAACTAAGTACAGAGGAATATGCGAAAAAAGTGTCAGAAAAAGCAACAGAAGTAGCAAAAATGGAACAAGATGTCATAAATTTGAAAAACCATACTACTCAATATAAAGTACTGAAAGATGAAGAGATAAAACAAAAAGCCCTGAAGACATATATGGATAGCGATGAGTATAAAAAAGAAGTTGAAGCAAATGTAAAGGCAGAAAAACTTTTACAGTTGCAGAACCAAACCGTACAGTATGAAAACTTAGCACAAGAAAGTAAAAATAACGACGCGGCTATGCAAAAGGCAATGAAAAGCGCAGAATATATAAAAGCTAACAATGACTGGTTAGATGCCCAAGCCAACGCTAAAGCAGCCCAACTCATAGGGTCAATAAGGACAAAAATACAAGCGGATGAAGACAGTTCAAATGAAGCTTTAACAAATGCTGACTTTAAGAACGCCTTCGAAGCTCTTCATAGTAAGGTGAAACAAGTGAACGACTTCTCATCTGGAAAGAAACTGAAGTCTGAAGGTTTCGACAAAGAGTTAAAAGAAGTAGCACAAAATATGACGAAAATAACAGATGCAGCAACGAGACAGGCAGTTCAAAGTGCCTATGACGCCGTTAGAGCAACTGTTGTGGAAAGTCAAGAAAAAGAGTTACAACAGACCAAAACAGACCTAGTAAATGCTTTCTTAAAAACGAAAAGTCAGGTAGGACATTACGCTGCAGATGGAACATATGTGCCAGCTGGTGGAACTTATATACCACCAAACCCTCCAAGAGAAGCACCTGCACCAGGACTACCTAGAACATTTACATCGTCACATGGACACAGACACAGGCATGCACAACAACCAGCACAACAACCACCTCCACAACCAGCACAACAACCAACACAACAACCAGCACAGCAACCAACAGTTCAAAACCCTGCACAACAACAACCACAAACAGAGCAAGGACATAAAAGAAGTAGAGAACAAGGAAACCAAGAATTCTTAAAAATGCTTAAAGAAGAGTGTGGTTTCCCAGATACTGTTGACTTTAGTGACAGATATAAAGAAGCTATTGGAAAGTTCAAGGATGGAAATACTGACCCGAACCTATTTAGCTTTATGGCTCAGCACCAAAACGGATATAATCTCAAACCTGGAAAATACAAGCTCGCTAAGGGATATGATTTAATAGCATATCATCCAAATGACATGGATGAATTTACTCCGAGATATTTGATGTCAGAGCTAAATGACAATTCAACTTTCGTCATGAAACGCGTAAAAATAGAGACGGAACGAAAGAACAAAAGCTTATGAATGCGGATGACGTAGATAGGGAAATTGTTGAAAACGGTCTCGGAATATATGAAATGCCAGCAGATGAGGTACAAGAAACTCCACAGGAAGAAGTTCAGATACAACCAGACATGGAAGAAATAGTTCAGCAACAACAGCTAGAAGAGCCTGAAGGAAACGAACAAGTCACTCCTTTGGAAACTAACTTCACAGAACTAGATGAAGATTTGGAACAGCCGAAAAATCTTGACCCTCAACAAGAGCATGAGGTGAATATGGAATATTTCCAAGAGTCTAAGAAAGATTCGGCTGACATAGTAGAAGAATATCGAAAAATGTTTGCCGACATACAAAAGACTCCAACACCAGATGAAAATATTCAGCATAGAATGGAAGCACTGAAAGAAAATGTACACAAATACAACAACCCTTTTTACTTACGAGCATTTAACGTTCAATCTTCGGATGAACTCGGTGAAAATAAAAGGTTAAATTTCAAGAAAACATATAGAAATGAAACATTGTTTAAAGTTCATTCAGAACCTAACCAAGATGGAAACAAACCTACTTTTGTTTCTGCAGACGATGGAACTACAATGAGATGGGGTCATAAAGCTAACCCGGATAGGTGGTTCATAAACTTACAACCACAATTCCAAGAAGTTGTAGACGCAATGGAAGTCAATGGTGAACCAGATATAGCTGGTATTTTAAGCGCGGCTTTAATGCCATTGAAAGATATGAAACATGCAGATATTTTGGACCAGTATGAAATGAACATGGCTGATGGAAATATAACACCTGACGTTCTAGAACATTTATCTCAAAGAACTACACAGAACCATAGAGATGGTATATTTGGTGAAGAGTTTAGAAAGACAGTTAGGGAGAGAGAAGGAAGAGAACCTATTGTACATGACCTTGCAAATGAAAGTTTGCAAAATGTCATAAAAACTTACTTTGCAGACAATGAACTGAGAAGGGATGAATATTTAAGAAAACTCAAATTGACAGTACCAAATGAAATGTTAGTATTGAAAAACATGTTCCTTGACAAAATAAAACCAACTACAGAAATAAACGACGCAAGACTGAAAGATTGGGTAAAAGCTTTCCCATTCACAAAAGATATAGTTGGTAACATGGAAAGAAAACCAGAATGGCTACAAAAACATATATTTGGAAACGAGCATATTCCATATGGACAGGCACTGTTTGAAGAGCTTGAACCGGAAACTCAGGAAAGAGTCATGCAAACAATACGCGAAGACTCAAATACAGACTATGACAAACTCTTTCTAGGATATAGGTTACCTGAGATGGGCGACCAGAGCCAAAAGGCAAAAAGGACATGGGAAATTTGCAACATACTAGATGAACATAATGCAAAGATGCAACAACTTCAAGCAGAGGGCAATGAAGGAAAAAGAAGAGTTAAAAACTCAGTCAGGAAGAAAGTAAAGCTTGGTCGGAGTGGGTTCTATTATGACATATAAATCCAACTATTCTATATTTTTACTCATATGAAATGTACGCCGCTCAGAATATAACGCCAACAGTTTTGGATGCTATGAACGGAAATGTTTCCGAATGGTATAACGAATGCGACAATGCCATTAGAAGGTCAGAAATAGTTCCTGGAACTTACGAATATACAACTGCTGTTTCTTATGGAAATGTAGGTGAGTTTGGAGAAGGTTCTTCAACAACAGTAGATATTGCTTGCGACAGGTTTCATATTATTTCTATTGACAACTCATTCTTATACGTGGAACAAGACATTGAAATAAAACCTTCTGCCAAGTTGTCTGACAAGAAAGGTTGCAATGGAATTTTCTATGTCGGATACCAATATGCTCCAGAAGTTTTCATGGGATATAAGATATATTCTAACTCTGACTTAGTTCAAACAGTAACATGGGCAAACTATGAATGGTTCGCTTTGAGAAACTCAGTACAACCACAAGCTAGAGAACAAACAGACCAGTATGCCACCATTGAGAAAATAAGAAGACTTGACCCTAACGTTCCAGGAGTTTATGTTAACCTTTCTGGACAAACTGCAGCAGCAGTAACCAAAGTAAAACTGAAACTTAGAGTTCCTTTGTCATCTTTCCTCATCTTCAGGTTTTTAAGATACTTGCCAAACTGGGCAGGAAAAATTTCTATCGAACTTACTCCAAGCAAAAATAACTTAGTCATTGCACCAACGCAAGACCCATTCACTCTTACAGACGTAGTGGGAACAAATAAAACGTCATTCGCCGACTTTTGCAAAAACAAAGTTGACTTAGACTTTGGTTTCTCAAACCTCAACACTGAAGTAAACTATTATTTCAATGCTGCTGGAGATGCTTGGGACCCAGTTAAGTTCACATGCGAAAAATTTGAATGCAAGAGAATAGAAAGCAGACTTGCAGTCTATATGTTGGACCCAGATATTTCAAATGCTTTAGCTGCCAAATATATTGCAGTTCCACTTATGTTCCCTATACACCAAATATCTGTCAAAGACTTTGCAGGTGAAGTTGGAAACCAAAGTGCTGACCCAGGTGCAAGAACAGATATTGCTTTAACAACTGCAATGAAACATGCAGATACTATGTTTGTACTGTTCAGACGAACTATAAATGACTATTCTTGCTTCTACAACCCTGGTATTAAATACCATATAAACATAGATGGCAAATACTATCCAAGAGAAGAATATTCTACAGTTGAGGATATGAGGTCATACAACTTGACATTAGATGCTATGAACTTTAACAACAACTTCACAACAACCATTAACCCTGAAATGCAAAGTTCTATTATGCCATATGTGAAAGTATGGACTCATACAGGAGGTCAAAAAACTCAATATACAAATGGAGACCGTTCAAACTTTTGGCTTGGCATTCCATTTGCTGACTCAGAAGACTTTATGGGTGGTATTTCAACTGTTGGTACTGTACAAATACAATATACTGGTGACAGAGACGGTCCAGATGAACTGAGAGCAAAGAAGTTTACAAAACCAATAGCACTTTTCACGGAAGATGCTCTTTGAAGATTCGTTCGATGAAACCTGCTGGGGCTCCTCAGATTGGCATAACGACAGCTTCCATCGAGCAGATTTTGGCAGCAGGTCAGTAAGTTGTTCTTGAACTGACTTCTCTCCGTCAAATATTGACAGTACGCCAGTCTTAACATAGTATTGTATTAAAAACTTTCCTTTAGAAATATCTGTAAGTTTTGTTGTTATATTTTTGTCTGCTTCAAGAACTTTCACCATCTCGGTTATACCAACTTTCTTTGCTTTATGAAAATATTTTGGTTCAGCAAAGACTGCTATTCTATAACATTTTCCATTGTTTGTGTAAAGAACTATTCTGTCAATGTATTTGTATTGTTTGTGTGTGTAAACTTTGTTTTGCTTCAATTCGAAGAGATACTCAAATACGTCCATCTTTTTATTCTAAGTAAAATGTCATTTCCGAAAAATAGAAGCGTAAGTGTTTCAAAAGGTTTAATGGCAGTGGCAGATGTGAAGTTAAATTCACCAACTCAAACAAACAGTCAAAGTGTTGTTGTCAATGTCAAAGAAAGAGATGTTGAAGTGGGGAAACCATACGAAGACCAAGATGGTATAACAATAGTTCCTGTAAAAGAACAACCAACATATCCTGAAGTTAGCAGAGACTTAAGTTCTGTTGCAGATATTCGAAACGACTACCAACAACTTAAAGACAAACTTAAAACTCAGGAGAAGATTTGTCAAGCTTTGGGTATAATGTTAAACTTGGTCGAACACAACCCTGTAAAAGTGAACTCATATGTCATCGCACCTCATGAAATTTTGAAAGAACTATTGAAACTTTTGACAGAGGCAGACGATATAAACATCAAAGAAATAGAACCCGACATTGCTTGCTGTGGTGTTTCATATAATGTCATTGACAAGATATACGTTATGAAAGGAGGCGAAACGTTGAACTTAAAATATAGTTTCCCAGACGTCATAAAAATATTTGACGACCACAACATTTCATTAAAATTTAGTTGCTAAGTAAATGGCAGAAGACATAGTGGTTTATACTATTACGACTAAAAACCCTGAGTCATATAATTCTATAACAACAAACTTACAAAGTCCTCAAGGACGATATTGTAAACTGACCTTAAACACGATGACGACTAAAGCCTGTTTTGCTCTTTTGACACCAGAAGACTTTGTTGTTGTGAATGGTAAAAAATACTCCTTTGAAGATACTTACTCAGATATACCACCAACAGGTTTTGTTGACTTATTTAATACTTTAAGGACGGATGTAACATGTGCTGCAACTAGAGCAGGTTTCATTATGTTTGGATGTCCGACTGAGTTTAGTATAAACGATATGAGCTATAATACAAAACTTATATCTGGTTTTTACTACCAACAGTTTCCTATAACAGGAAAAGGTGTCATACAAGGTCTATCTGTTCCATTGACTTTAAGTACACCTATTTTATATATTGTTTCAAACTTAGGTTCAAAGTGCTATTCGAATGTCGACAGAAACTACTATGACCAAAAGATACTCATGCGTATAAACAACACTTTCTCTGCTGGTTTGCCTATTGTTCATTCGAATGCAGAGTTTTCAGCTTTAGTAAACTCAAACACTTTGGCAAACATAAACTTAACCTTAGTTGACGCAAACTTTGTTCCTGTAAAACTTTTATGTCCTATGTATTTGTCAATGACGGCAGAAAGTTTCGAATTGGAAGATGCAACTGGTGAAAGTATTGTATTACAAGAACAACTTCAACAACAAATAGCTCAAGAACAACAAATGCAACAAATAGCTCAAGAACAACAAAGTCAAGAATAAAAAAAATATTTTTTTTTATTTTTATAAAAATGTACAGAATAGATGTTTCAGATTTTTATGACTTCCAAGCGTTCAGAAATATGTGTCCATTTCGAGACTATAACAAAGCAGTCGAGAATTTGAAACGTTTAGTCATTTATGTTGACTCTGCCCCAGAATGTTATGTTATGAAAGAATGGGATGTTGTCTTTAACAAACCAAGAGCAACCATAGTGTCTGAACAAGAATGTAAACAGAAACTTAAGAAAATAAAAGTTGTACAAGTTGGCATGAAGATGTTAGATGCTTGGGATATCTTATTGTCAAAGTTAGAAGATTTTTCAGTTCGAGGTATAAAGTTCTATACACCTTCTCCAAACTTCTATTCTATCTTCACTGGATATAAATACGAACAAGTAGAATGGAAAGAAAATGTTATAGAAGCTTGGTTAGACCATGTCAAAGAAATTATATGCAATGGAAACGAAAAGGTTTATGAGTATATCTTATGTTGGTTTGCAAACATCTTACAACATCCAAGTGCTAAAAATGAAACTGCTCTCATTATAATTGGAAAACAAGGAACTGGTAAGAACACTTTCTTTACAGATATTTTGTGCAAACTGTTAGAAGGTTATTCGAATCCGAATATGACAAACTTAGAAAACATCTGCGGCAAGTTTAACTCCTCAATTGAGAATATGAAACTTATAGTTTGCAATGAACTTCAAAGTATAGATACAACAAAAGTTTTGAACTCAGATGCTTTGAAGAGTCTTATAACAGACAAAGTTGGAGTTGTTGAAAGAAAGTATAAAGACCAAAGAGTTTGTGAGAATGTTGCAAACTTCATTATGGTTTCAAACAATGTTGTTCCGATGAAGTTAGAAAGTTCTGACAGAAGATATGTAGTTGTCAGAACGTCAGATTCTCATATGCAAGATACAGAATATTTTGACGACTTAGCAGAAACTTTGACATCTGACTTTTACAACCACTTGTTCTCATATTTCATGACATTAGATATTTCTAAGTTCAATCCAAGACAAATTCCACATACCGAAGAAAGACAAACGTTGTTAGAAGCAAACAAGAGTGTATATGAACTGTTTATAGATGAGACTAACTTTGAGTGTTTAGATGAAAGGTCATTGTACGATTCGTATAAACAATATTGTCAAGAATATGGTTATATGGCAGCGTCTAAACGAACATTCTTGGCAAATGTCAAAAATCTTTTAGATGTTCAGAACGGCGTATATACAAAGAAAAATTTTTCTGAGTAAATTTTAAAAAAATATTTTTTTATCCGATAGAAAAGATGACGAAATATATTTCAGTCAACAAGTACATGACAGAAGTCAAAGAAGAACTAGACCCATTCATATATTTGAATGTTTACTTCTACAATTTTGAAAAGTCTACATTTGACAAAATTTGGAACATTGCACCAGTTAAGTTTGCTGTTGTTAGAAAAAGTGGTGCAACTTTTGAAGACTTAGACATAGAAGGTTTGTTAGCAGTCAAAGAAAATTTTGACAGAAAGTTCTCAAAACTCGAAGAAGGCAAAGCATACAAACTTGTTATACCTTATGAACCAAAGAAAGCAGACGACTATGAATATTATGAGTCTAAGATAGTTGAAGTTCAAGGTAAATTAGGTAAAAAGATTTTAGAGTCTAAGCCAGTGTTTGCTCCTAAAGAGGAAGAGAACATTGACATTGACCCAGAAATGTTCTAAAAATAAAATTTTATTTTTACATGTCAAATTTCTTTTCTCTGGAACTGGCTCTGGTTCTTTCTTCTCTTCTTCTACTTTCTTTTCTTTCTTCTCTCTCTTCTTCTTCTTCTCTGGTGGAGTTATGTCAAACTTCTCAGAACCATATTTTTGTAAAAGGTCTTTGTCCTTTAATAGCTCTTCTATTCTGTTTTCTATTTCATCTTCAAGAACAGCGCATGTGTCTTCTTTGCATTCTAAGAACTTTTGTTGGACTTCATCTTTCCAATCGGCGTCATCTCTGTCAACAAGTCTGTCATTGACAAATTTTAAGACTGCTCTTTGTAATGTTTTATGGTTCTTGTCATATTCCCAGAAACAGAACTTTAGAACAAATTCACCTTTCTTGTTTACACTATGTAAGATTTTATGGTCTACAGATGTTTTGCTGTCGAAAAGTTTGTCTCGAATATAGATAGCGAAATCGCTAGACATTTTCAAAAAGATAAAAATTTTAATTTTTCTAAAAATATGTTAGAAAAAAAGTTTGCTGACATTGACAAAAAATTTGAGAATGTTTTAAATAAGAACAAGAGGAAGTTAGAAAATGCTCAGATAAAGCCTATACATGACAAGTTCTTATTTGCTCAGAATGGTATAACAGGTCTAATCGCACCACCTGGGTCGGGTAAGACTTTCACTTATCTTAAAATGGCTGCACAACAACAAGAACTAGATGAGAAGAACCCATTCTATGAGTTAGTTGTTATTTGTAGTACTTCTGGTCAATTTGACCAAACCGTAAATTCGTTCAAAGATATTATAAAAAAGTCTAAGTTAGTATGTATAAAAGATACTGAGTTGTTAGATTGGATAAAGAAGTACCAAAGAAGAGTTTTGAAGTACAATGCTATAAATGAGTATATAAATTCGAAGTTTAAAGACCCTAATGAGGAAATGCAGAGAATATTAGAGAAGAAACACTTCAGAAACAAACAGAAAGAGATAGAATACATTTCGAAGAAATTGCAATCTTACGATTGGAAGACTTACCCTCATAGATGTCTTCTTATCTTAGATGACTTTGCTTCTCATCCTTTGTTAAAGAATAGAGAACAAGACATGTGTCGAATTCTTAAGAAGCTCAGACACTTTAACATCTCAGTTGTCATTTGTGTACAGACAGCCAAGAGTTTAAGTAAGGATGTAAAGAGAATACTTACTGACATTGTACTTTTCCCCGGATTGTCCGAAGACGATTTCATGGAACTTATGAAAGAGTCCATGGCAGGTAAGTTTGACAGACATGAACTATGGGAGAAGTACAAAGTCATACAAGACCCTCATACTTCTTTCAGAATTCACATCTACGCGAACAAAGTTCAAATTGTAAAAAGTCAAGCGTAAAAAATAAATGTTTAGTCTTAGTAAGTCTGTCGGATGGAAGAGTTCTTCCAGTTGTCGGGAAAAACTTTTTCTGTCGGATGCAAGAGTTCTTCCTGTCGGATGCAAGAGTTCTTCCAGTTGTCGGGAAAATATTTTTCTGTCGGATGGAAAAACTTTTTCTGAAGGTCGACCAAAAAGTTCTCAATTTTCTAAAATTTGAATGGTTTACGGACGAACAACAAGAAAAATTTTTCCAGTTGGAAGGAAGAGTTCTTCCAGTTGTCGGGAAAAACTTTTTCTGTCGGATGCAAGAGTTCTTCCTGTCGGATGCAAGAGTTCTTCCAGTTGTCGGGAAAATATTTTTCTGTCGGATGGAAGAGTTCTTCCTGTCGGAAGGATTTGACGAGGCAATTTAACTTATAGAGCTACCTGAGCCATCTGAAGTCAAGCGTAAAAATAAATGGTTCATTTACTCTGCTTGTTTGAAGTTGTCAAAATACTCTGTTATTTTTTCTTTCAGTAGCGGCAAATCTTCTTTGAAGGTAAGTATTGTACAACCTTTCATATCATAGTGTGTTTGAGGTAACGTATCTTGAACTATTTGTTTCACATCTTCATTCGGGGTCATTGAAATCGGTAAGTTTTTCGCGATAGAACCAATTTCTGTCAGATTTGTAAATCTTAGCAAAGGTCGTAAAAGCTTTTGTTGTTTCTTCTGACTAAATGCAACATAACCATATCTCTGTCTTCTTCATTTTCCATCTCTTCAGTATAAATCATATACTTATAGTTCTTTTCCTTTCCTTTTGGTACCGAACGTGGTATTCTTTTCTGTATGGTTTTGTCTTTTGCTTCAAGCTTGTTCTCTAGCTCTTCACGTTCTTGTCTATGAATTTCGTCAAGAAGTCTGTAAATATTCCAAGCATAACGAGGCGAAGCCCACATTGCAACAGCATTTACAAGAAGTCTATGTACATAATATCCTCTCAAACCATTTGGCAATTTTTCACGATTTTCGTACGGAATCTCTACCCTCGGTTTTCCGAGGGTAGCAAACATATGAGGAAATTCTTCTAAAAGTTCTTTTGTCTGTTGGTTTTCAAACCAATGGTATGCTTGCTTTGTAGAACGAAGAGTATTCAAAATACTTTGCATTTGGTACATATCGTCTTTGACCGAACGAATGAGACGAAGTTGTTTGTTAAACTGAACCCACTCATATTCTTCATTTATAGCTTCATGGACTATAACTGTTGTTGTGTTCTCTGATGTTGACATATCTGTCTTTATATTCCGGATAAAAAAATAAAAAAAAATAAAATTAGCGTTATTTTCTATCTTGTATAAAAGACCAAAAATAAACGCTTTACATGTATTTTTCAGCAACTTCGTCAATAATTTTATAAGCTTTATCTATCTCATCTACTTCAAACGTTTCTTTACCTTTCGTGGGAGCACCATACATTTTCTCAAACTTTTCAAGTAGTTCTGTTTCAGCAGCTCTCATATCGTTAACAAACACAACCTTGAACTCTATTGACTGTACTGTCATATCTTTGAGTTATATTATATGTTCTTCCTATCTTATATCTCTTTGTATTGAAGTCCTTCGGTTTCTGAACGATGTAAAGTAAGCCTTCACTGCAACGTTCCGTATCGAATGAACCATATGTTATGAAGTTATATCCAACAACTGGGTCTAACCATAACAAAACTATTGGTATAAAGACTTTTGTCTATAAGATATGCTGTAGTTCCATAGAATCTTACCGATATCATAAGCTCAGGATTTCTTGTCAAAATTTTCTGACTAGAAGCAGTTCTAACCCAGTCGTGGGATGTTTTCTTTCCAAATGGAGAATATAATGTCTGACAAAGAATATTTATTGTATTTTTTTGAGTATCTTACGTTTAAATCACCTATTCTAACCAATTTAGTGTTATTGTCTATCTTTTTAACTGTTTTCAAACTCAGTGTTTGTCATTTCCTGTTCTTACATACAAAATAAAAAAATATTTTAAAAAAACTAGCTTTATTTTTTCTATCTTAAGGAAATTCATGATTTTCATAGAGTTTTAGGCGACCAGGATTTCTTACCTACTCGCTGTTCTTCATGATTTTCATAGAGTTTTGGCGAGTAAGATTTTCTATCTTGTATAAAAGATATGATTTCAGGGATTTTTTTTGACGAAGTGCAAAAGTTCTCTTCGTAAAAAAATAACAGTTATATAATGAAATTTGGTCATTTTTTCAATAAAAATAATGTTTATGTTAGAATGTTAGATCTAACATGTTTCTAACATGTTTTCTAACATGGTCTAAAACATACAAAACTCATGAAATTTCATACGGAATTCAATAAAAATAATGTTTATGTTAGAATGTTAGATCTAACATGTTTTCTAACATGTTTTCTAACATAACTATTTACAAGCGTTTTACATGGTATATGTTGCGATGGTTCATGACTCTAAACAATTTCGTGGCTTCAATTTCTTCTGTCAGTACATCGAATGTTTTAACGATACCGAAAGTTTCTTTATACTTCTTCTTGACGTCAGATAGAAGGAAATCGTCAGCTGTTGGATAGTTTTTGTTTAGAAATGTCAACATGTTCATTTTATCTTCTGCTGGTTTTTCTGCTTCTTTCTTTAAATCTGCATAGTCGTTTCGCATACGTTCTATCTCTTTGACGGAGTAGTTATATTTCTCATTGCTGCTTTACATTTTGAACATTGCGGATTCATTTTTGCGTTATATTCTGAAACCTTACCTTGCTAAAACAACTAAGGCGTCAATGGTTTTCTTCATCTCGAACATAGCGGGTCTTATTTGTTCGTTCCATACCTTACCCCTACTATCTTTATCTCTTATTTCCCAAACACATTTTGCAACTAATGAAACAAAGTTGTCGTAGGTCTTAAATTCTTCGGAATTTGTAAAGGTCAGAGATGTTCTTAATATACCATGTCGCAGTCTTTGTCCATGACTTTGTGGTTGCAATGAAATCCAAGAAACTCATAGTTAACCTTTTCGTATGAACTTCTTTATTTCTACTGAGTCAGTCAGTCCGACTTCTATTTCATCGAATTCTGGAATAGTGAGTTTTTGTTGTTGGATTTCAGGAAGTTTAGGTAAATGGTCAATAATATCCTGCATTTCATAAAGATAACTGTTCAGTTTGTTTCATCTTTCGCACTACAGTCTAAATTACTTGTTAAAAGTTCTTGCTTTATCTTCTGGATTTTTGTTTCGAAAGTATATGAAGAAGGAATGAAGCTTTTCATCTCTACTAACATTGAAGTTGGGTTCATGACTAACGAGTTTGGTGCTGTTGTTGCTAACATGTTCTTACAATAAAAATAAAAAATATTTTTTTAAAAAAACCAACTTTATTTTTTATGTTTTTTGTGAAAGTGTCAAAATTCATGAATTTCGAGAGTTTTCTACGATGTTAGAAAACGTGTTAGAAAACATGTTAGATCTAACATTCTAACATAAACATTATTTTTGGGTCTTTTACGCTCATTCCGATGAAGAAGTCTTGACAAAACATTTATGAAGAAGTCTTGACAAAACATTTACGAAGAAGTCATGAAAATTCAAGAGTTTTAGACCATGTTAGAAAACGTGTTAGAAAACATGTTAGATCTAACATTCTAACATAAACATTATTTTTGTCGAAAAAAAAATGGTTCATTTACTCACAATATTTTTGTACAAAACGACCCCAAACTTTTAACTTCTTTTCTGCAGCTTCTAATGTTATCTTAGCGAGTTCATATTCTCTAAATTCTCTCTTTAAATCTTCTTGTTCCCATTGGTCTAGTTCGTATGGAGAATCTCTATAACCAGAAACATATCTCACGTTCATGTTCTATTGTTTTTCATGCATTTTTCTAACTTCTTCTTCAAACAAAGGTTTTGCATTCTCTACTGTATCTTCAAGTTCTTCTTCATCTAATTTCTCATGAACTTTCTTGTCTATGGAGTCCATAATTTTTCCAACTGCTATACAATATTTTGGAGAAGCCCACATTGCAATATAGTTTACAAGTCTTGGGTCTACATACGTTCCTCTAACCTGTTTGATTTCATCAGGAATTCCTGCATGAACCTTGTATAAAAAGCAACCGTCGGAATTCCGGCGGTTGGTATATTCTTCACAAAATGCCGTATAATACTCTTCCCAGGACTTATTTTCCAACAACTTTCTAAAGTCTTTCCTAAACTGCTGACACATATTTGTTACATTTATATAACCATCCTTGTCTCTACGTAAGACTTCAATACCGTTGTAAGTGCCTTTTGTGAATGTTTCGCCATTAGATTTGTTCGTGAACGTTTTTGCTTCGACTGTCATTTCAGTTCTTACAATAAAAATAAAAAATATTTTTTGGTGGCTTAACCGTCGGACATTCGTTTATGGCTTAACCGTCGGACATTCGTTTGTGGCTTAACCTCAAAACAAGCATTTTGTGAAGAATATACCAACCGCCGGAATTCCGCGGGTTGCTTTTTTTATACAAAATTCAAGAGTTTTGCGTGTTTTCTACGATGTTGTCAAAATGTCGTGTTGTCAGTAATTTTAAGAGAAGTTCATTTGACCGAGGCACATAGGCACATAGGCACACCTAAAAAAACATCTAACCTAAAATATATTTTTCAATACTTTTTCAGCACTTTTCCGTAGTTGTATATGAAAGACAATTCGGGATGAAATTTCTTCATCTGATATATTCCTACCGGCGTTTGTAAACATATAGTCTAACGGTTTTGTATCTGCTACTTTTGTTCTTTGTTTTTCAACCTGAAGCATTTAATATATGTAAAAATATATTGTTTTAAAAACGTTTTTACTTCATGCAATTTTTTATTTCATGCAATGTTTTATTTCTGTGCCGTCTTCAAGTATGCCCCAATACTTACGCTTGGAGAGAACATGAACTTCGGAAAATACCTTGTCTAGCTTAAAACAGCCCATTTTCTCACCAACTAAACCCATTTCAATGAGTTTGTTATACCCTTCTTCGTTTGTCATGAGTGCGTCAATGTTCTCATAGTAAACCTTCACTTTGGATTTGACTTCCGAGAAGAATTTGTTGTAGTTGTCAAGGACTGCCTTTGCGAACTGAGGGTAAGACCAATGTTCGACAATAGGTTTTAATGTGGTTACTAAGCCACTTTCACCTTCGGTAAATTCGTATTTCAAAACAAAAGGGGAGAACCTTTCAACAAAGTTGTCGACCTTCTCATAATGTTTACTCTTCATCTCTTGAGGTTTTTTAATGGAATACCCCCATGTCGAATTCATAAGCAATTTTAATGTCATTGCAAGTTTGGGGTTTGAAGCTTTCCTAATATCATACAGTTGTTGTATGACTTTTCCAACTGTATAGTTCCTTCCTGGGAACTCACCATCTTCGTTTGGAATTCCAGTCGGGATATATTGGACGAACCTCATGTATGCGGCGTTAAGGTCGACATAGTATATTTTTTCATATGAGTCGAACTTGTCGCAACCAATCGGTCCAGTTCGTGGAAATTCAAGTGAGTCTCTTATCTTCTGAGAAACTTCTCCTGTTATCTCATAAACATCGTCGAAGCAACCTGTTTCATATAAAACCTTCTGACCCAACTCAGAAGCTCTCCAATACAATTTGACGTCAATTGGATGTCTCAATGGAAGTTTGTTTATAGCATCTTGAAGTTCTTGCAACCTCATTGGAAGTTCTTCTGGTTCAGGTTGGTATCCGAACAATCCAACTCCTTTTGGAGCTGTGTACTTCTTTTGTGCTATAACTTTGTCTGGAACAACTTTTGGTCTTACTAACATGAAAAGTTTGTTTCGTCTTTTGGTACAAAAGTTTCTGTCAGCTTGTCATCTGGAATTGGTTCCAACAAGCCTTTCTCGAAAAGAATGTTAACAGCTCTGACAATGTTGCACTTACCTTTTCCGAACAATGGGTTTGTAAGACTTTCGTTCAACATGAAGTGGTTGTGGACAAGTACAATCTTCAACCATGGTAAGTCTTTGTCAACAACATAGTCGTCATGTGAAGAACCTTTCTCAGTCGGAATGTTGACTCGGATATTCACATTTGCCAACGGTGCAATTTTTGCCAATTGACCTCTGAGAATGTACCTTGTCTTCACACATGACTCAAGGTACTTCATCTTCTCTTCTGTAACAAGACCAGAGTTCCTGAGACATGTAAGAATGCAAGGTTCATTGACAATTGTTTCAATTGAATTGTAAATTCCATACCTTGTCAAGTCAATGTCAGACTTATTTATGAACGGGAAGTATCCAGCATGTTGTCTGACTGCTTGAGGGTTAGGTTGGTACCATTCGAACTTCACGCTTGCAATTCCTTCAATTGCATTCAAAATATCTGAGTCGGAGTCAACCATTTGTTCTCTCTTTGTAGTCTTGAAAGCGTCAAGAAGTTGTGCGGCTGTTGTGACATTGCCATGTGCATAGTAAATATGACCATCTAAATCTGTTACGGTTAGTCTGAGATTGTATCCTTTCTTATTTCCGTCTTGAATGGCAGCAAGTACACCCATGAAGCCTTCTTTGTTCTTTCCTTCGTCAAAGTTTACTGTAAAGGTTCGACCAGATGTAATTTGACTTCTAACTTCACGATACTTCTCATATGCATATCTTGTTCTTTCCATGGGAGCATGACCATCCTCTGCACTACCTTTTTTCCTTCTCAAAGGATGCAATTGTTCGTCATGTTTCCAGTAGAATCTGGCAAAGCCGTCGTGTCCTTCAACTTGAGGTTCACTAACATTGAAAGGCAAGTTCATAAGACGTTCTTCTTCTAACCTCTCTAATCTGTTTGGATAGTTTGCGCGTGCTGTTTCAAGGTCCATTTCGTAGGTCAGACCAGCCAGTTTGTCATAGACTTTTATGGGTCTTCCCTTCCTATATTTAAAATTCTTCGAAACTCTCCAACCATATCTTTGCAACTCTGCTTTTATTCTAGCAGACCTTCTATCTATTCTATACGGGGGCATTTTTATAAAAATAAAAAAATATTTTTTTCTTTACTTTACGTAACCACCTGCTACCAAAAGCCTTTGACGCCAACCCATACCAGCTAATGAAGGTTGACTTTTAGTATTGAAACTAACCTTTGGTTTTGGTTTATCTTCAGTTTTTGGCTTCCCTTCTTCTATTGGTTTTTCGTCACTTTTCGGTTCCTCTGACTTTACTTCACCTGCAGGAACAGTTGTGTCGTCAACATCTTCATAAATATCATATGCCATTTGTTTTTGTTTTCCTTTCAACTTTTTGTGTTTGTTGTAAAGTTTAGAATATTTCGACTCTAAGTCAATGAGATGTTCTATAATGAACTGTTGGTCGGTGAAGAATACCTTCCCATCTGTTGTCTCATAAACTCCTTCAGACTTCAATATTTTATTTGTGAGAGTCTGTTTCTTTTTTGAGATACTAGCCGTTCCATTTCTATGAAAAGTGACTTTATAGTTAGGGTTTGCATTTCCAGACCTGGCACTTTCTATTATTGAATTTTTCTCTTCATCTGTAAGTTCTTTGACAGGTTTTGACAATGGTTCTGAACTTTTTGTTTGTGGTGTCAAATCTACCGTTTCAACTTCTTCGGTCATTTCATCTCAGTAAAAAATTTTAGTTTGGTTTGTTTTCAACTGGTTGTTGAGGTTTTTTATGTCGGTCTAAAACTTCTTGAGGTATAGGGAGGACTTGACAAACACGTGGTTTAGCTGCTGGAAGCCGACAAATCCATCTTGAACCCATTTGTCTCAATGCTGTATTGTTCATTTCATCTCAGTAAAAAAATTTACATTCCCCACGTTTGAGGCGGTTGCGGTTGGTTGTTGTTTACCCACTGTTGTGCATGGTTATATCCTCTGTTAAAGAATCTTTCACCTTGGTCCATATAGTGCCCTGCTTGGTTATAGTAGTCATTTGCTTTGTTATAGTAGTTTCCTGCTTGTCTTCCTACATTGTCCATCCATCCTTGAACTTTTCCTCTTGTTTCAGGATTTGGAATAAGATTTGCTGCATCTCGTGCTACATCCCAACCTTTCTGTACAGTTTGTATAATAGGTTGTGCTTTCTCTTTAAGTATACCTAATGTACTCAAAATCTTCCTTCCAATTCCAAATGCACCTCTGGCTATTGTTCCCACTGCGGGCAAAAATCTGGATGCAACTCCTGCTAATGCGCCAAATAAACCCATTTCTTATGGGGTAAAAATGACGAATCCAAACAAGGACCCTATGTTTCTAAAGCGACAAAGAAAGCACTCATGATAAAAATCTTTAGTTCAACACCAAATGCTTGGTTTATGGATATCTTGGAAAACATTCCGAGGTATAGAGAAGATGGACCACCATACTGGCTAATATTTGTCGGTCAAAACACAAGATACTGTGAAGCTATACCATTACAGTCCAAAAATATTTTAGATGTGAAAACTGCTTTGACAATATTCGTTGACAAATACCATCCAACAAAACTGACATCTGACTGTGAACGTTCTTTCAAATCAGACGATATTAAAAACTATCTGCGTTCAAAAAATGTAAACCAATATTTCATTGTCGACCAAAACCATTCTGCTCTTGGTGTCATTGACAGTTGTATAAAAATCTTAAGAGACTTAAATCAACCACAAGGTGGTGAGGTAGATGAAATGTCATATGACGACAAGTATAGACATTTCTCCATGGCAAAGATGAGACAAGTTTTAAATATTTACAATAGCCGTAAACAAAAAGGTTTGGGAAACCACTCCCCCGAAGAAATGAAAAACAACCCCGACTTAGAGAAAGACTTTATATTTAACAATTTAGTCAAAAGAGACAAACAAGAAAGAATGCCAGGCTTCAAACTTAAGAAAGGTGACAAAGTAAAAATAGAAATACCTAAACGCGACCCATATGAAAATACTATTGACTATGACAACAATGGGAACCCGACAGGTACTCGCATTCGTGTTCGTAAAAATAGAAGAAAGTATACAAGAGAATATTATGAAGTTTTAGGCAAACATGGCAAAATGTACAGACTGCAAGCAGAAGATAAAACTACTATTGTCAGACCTCGTTTCAAACTTGTTAAGGTTCAAGGTGGTATACTTTCAAAGACAGTTCCTAACAAATATAAGACAACTCCTGACGAATATGCTAAAGAAGTTGAAAATGACGACTAAGCAATTCTATACCATGCGTAAACTGTCATGTAAGGTGGCATGTAGTCTTTACTTTGTCCCGTTGTTTGCGTATATCCTGAAACGAAATGTGTATGGTTTCCTTCTCCCTGAGTGTCACTCCAGTAACAATTTATAGCAAACTTAACGTCGTCTTTAA